ATGGGTGGAATTTGAGTGGGAATAAGTGTGTGGGGTTTTTTGTTTTAAACACTTTCTGGTAAATGGTTTTACTCTGTCAAATCAGCATGACTGATCATGTCTGGGAGCAAATATAAAATATTGAAGTTTCTTATGTGCTGGCAGGAGTTGCTGATGACAGATCTGTTTCTATATATGTATCTTAATCTACTTTTTAAAAAAATTGCCATATGTGATGTTGATATTCTACGATGATTAAAAACATGTTTTATAAGCAAATACATTTATTTCTAAAACATCTAGAATTTGATAAATGGCTTTACATCTCTTGGTTTATCTGCTTTTGGTACCTGTCCATATACATGACTGTTTTATATATTCATAACTTCCTGAGAAAAGCTTAGCTCCAGGAATTTTTCTATTTATGTTGAATTTGCCTTCAGGGAATTTATTTGGAAGAAGTAGAATTGAGATGAAAGACCATTTTTCATGCAGCAAAATGACCAAGTATATTAATTTCTCTGAAAGAATGTTTAGCACCTGAAGACAAAAGCATCTAAAGGCTACCTCTAGGTATAGGTAAGGCAGGTAGCTGCATAGGTCAGCAGACTACATGGGTCGTGGTGGTGTTGCTGCTTATTCTGTATAGCTAGATCCTTAAAGGCTAGTGCTGGGGGCTGCTGCTTGGGCATCCTGATGTATCAGGTTGTGCAGAAAGGTGGTCATTGCTGAGGGGTGAGGGCAATATTCTCCTCTTCTTCCACACTGAAACCAACAACTACTACCTTCATTTCTCCTGACCCTGTATCTTCTGATATATTGTTTCTTCAGCTCTCTGAGGCTGTTGCCCTTCCCTACCCCACAGACTGTCATCACTTCTTTTTGCATGAGGAGCTCCATCCTGGATTCTTGGGAGACAAGGTTCAGTGCTGCCTTTTCTTTCCCCACTGTCTCTTTAAAACCACTGCATATGCTTCTTGTTAGGGCCAGAATGTGTTACTTTAAGATATGATGACTGGTCGTCTGGAGGTCTAGTTGACACGAGTAAGGGGACAGGACACAATGAAGTAATTGAGGCCTCTATCAACAAATGCAGTTAAATGATAAATTGCACATAAAAATAATTCTATTGATTTTCATCGTTAGAGACACTACTTTGTGGGAATGGGCACTGCCTTTTCGTTGCAGAATGCAAGCGTTATTAGTCCATATAATCTGTACATTATGCAGGTCTTATCAAAACTTATCTTGCTTATTTGACTGTGGAAAGGTTCACAAACAGTATTATATTGTTTAACAACAGAATTCATTGTTAAAGGACAGGGTGATTTCTGGCTTGATAACTGAGCTAGTACTGTCACATGGAACATGCTCCATTATCTTTTGCCTTTCATTGTTCTTCATACAGACAAGCACATTAGTGGCTTACATTTAGGAAAACCGTCATCTAACAATTAAGTACAATAAAAAAGGTGGTTACAATGCATGTCTCTGTTAAGTCATGTTATATATAGTTCATAGTACCTGATAAAGCAGCGTATCCAACATACTGATGCTGAAAACCCTGCCAGCAGCGAAGGGCAGTCGAAACATAAATGCCAGATTAGATCCTTTCTCCCGCTCTTTCTGTTAAGGAATTACAAAATAGAAAATATTTTTAGTGCTTATTTTGGAAGGACTATAATAAAAACATTGAATTGATGCTACCTTGAAAGAGGTCAAAAGTATAAAATACCTTTACTCTCAAAATAGTTTCTTTCTACAAATATGTAGTATCTTTTTTCAAGTTGTAAGATTGTTTACTGCATATGTTGTTTCAGTCATCACATCTCAAATTGTATGGGCATATTCTACTAGGTCATTTTAAAAATTATTGAGATACTTCCACTGTTCTTAGAGCAAAGCTCTTGTTATTCCTGCTTCAATTCCTTGGTGCTGACAGTGGACTTTCACTTAAGTCCAGAAAGTCGACTAGAAACAGGAATGTGAAACATGAACAGAATCTGACACAAAAGAGAAGCAATGGTATTTCAGTCAATGTAAGGATGTGAGATGAGATCAGACATCTTATGGTATCTTGCTTGCAGAGGAACTGCACCACAATGTGCTTCCTGTTCCTTCAGTTATCATAGAGCAGAAATACAGGTTGAAAGTAATTTTGTTGTCTTAAGAAGAGGAAGTATCAAGCTTTCAGTTCAGAGGTGTCATTGAGAATGTGTTCTCAAAGTACAGAAATGCTACATGTCTCAGAATGAAGACACTTACATCCACCACATATACACACTAGTACACACTAAGATCTCACTGGCTAGCAAGCAGCTTGGCAAAATAGACCCTGAGGGTCCTGGTGAACACCAAGTTCAACATGCTGGTAGCCTGTCACTAGCAGTGTTCCCCAGGGGCCAGTACTGGGGCCAGTCGTGTTCAACGTATTCAGTAATGACCTGGATGAAGGGACAGAGTGTACCCTGAGCAAGTTTGCTGATGATAAAAAACTGGGAGGAGTGACTGACACGCCAGAAGGCTGTGCTGCCATTCAGTGAGACCTGGGAAAGGCTGGAGAGCTGGGCAGAAAGGAACCTAATGAAATTCAACAAAGGCAAGTGTAGAGTCCTTCACCTAGGGACGAATAACCCCATGCATTAGTACAGGTTGGGGGCTGACATGCTGGAAAGCAGCACCATGGAGAAGGACCTGGGAGTCCTGGTGGACATGAAGTTAACCATGAGCCAGCAATGTGCTCTCATGGCCAAGGCCAATGGTATCCTGGGGTGCATTAAGAAGAGTGTGGCTGGCAGGTCAACGGAGGTTATCTTCCTTCTCTACTGTGCCCTAGTGGGGCCACATCTGGAATATGTGTCCAGTTCTGGGCACTGGCACAGGTTTGCCAGGGAGGTTGTGGAGTCTCTCTCTTTGGAAATAGTTAAAAACCCTCTGGACATTGTTCTGGGCAACCGGCTCTAGGTGGCCCTGCTTGAGCAGGGGCCTTAAGGCAAGATGACCTCCAGAGGTCCCTTCCAATCCTAACCATGCTCTGATTCTGTGATATGCAAATAAGTGGTCTGCTCTAACTAATGGCTTTGTTGAACAGCAGCGTTTTAACCCCTCTTTGCCATTGCTGGATAGTCTGGTTGTACCTGTTGCTTTCTGTGGCGCCATATGAGTGGAGCTGAAAAAGATGTCACACAAAAAGGCTTTCTTCTCTAGATAAAAAAAGCCCCAGAAAATAACTCTTCAAAATACGATATTGATCTGTCCTTTATAAAATTTTACCTCTGTCAATGTCTTCAGATTAAAGGGGTTTCAAAATTTTTAAGGAAATAAAATTATTATTTCAGGTTGTTTGTTTTTTTTTTTAATTCCAAACATTGCCTATGTTCTGACTAAATACTACTGGCTTGTACTGATTTCTTCTTCCCGGAGAACTGCATACATTCATGCTCTCACACACACACGCATGCTTTGATGTCTGAGCAGCAAAGGATTGTTTCCAGCAAGTTGGGTACTTCTGACAGTTGAAGAAGAAAGACTAATTGTACAAAGAACACGTTTACCAGGATAAGCATAGCATTGTGCTTACTGGTGTAAGGCACAGAAACAAGAACTTTTTTGCATTTCTTTTGTAGTTCAATCTCACATATTTAAGTGCTTTTCTGTTAGTGCAGTCAGTCAAAGTAGAAGATATTTTTCTTCAGTTGCTATTGAGAATAAAAACTTGCGTGTGAATTATGGAAAAAAATTGTAAGATTAGTTTTACAATAAACATTTCAAAGTTAATACTACATGCATATTATAACATACGTTAGATTAAATGCTTTTAGATTAATGCCATAAAATATTTTATAGGAAATGGGCTGTGAAGTGATTATCCTCCTATCATGTGACCCCAATATTATGTTTATCCTTCCATCTGCTTATAGAGAAATTTGCAGCAGATTCTGGTTTTTGCGCAAGAAACATGGGGTAAGGCAAGAGACATTTGGGGAATAATTGGTTCTTATCCAAAATCGTGATAATAAACATAAGGATGTTTCTTTTTAAAATGGAAGCTCAGAAATTTATTCTCCGCCTTTATTTTAAATTTCTTGTATTTTTTCTTTTCATCTCTTGTTACAGGCTTGCTTTTTCTTTATTCTTGCCTAAAAGAGAATTGTGAGAAATACAGTTTTTACTAAGCCACTTAGCATTGAGTTCTGCTTTACTGCTTGCAGACTTACTAGCTTCCAAGAGAATACTGTGGACATAGAAGCCAGAAATGTGTCTGAATGTCCCAGCAGTTTTATTTCACAATAAGTGTCACGTCCAGCAGCTCCTTCCCTGACACTTTTTGGAATTAATGAGGAAGAGGATATAATTACTTAAAATCATAGATCATTTCTGGGAATATAAACAAAAGATCATGGTATAACTGCGTCCTGTATAACTTCACATATATAGATGACATTTTAAGACACAGCTATTAATAGACAGAGATCTTTACTTCATCCTCAGTCCTCCTATGTTTGTGGCTTTGCTCAAGTCATGAAGTACAGAATTTTTACTGCTTTCTTTCTAAGTAATAAAAGGTGAACACTTGTGGTTTTGAGAAATTCTTAGCATGTGCTTCCTCCACTTAGGCCATTTAATTTTAAGTTAATTCATTATTTCCTTTTGGGTTTGCATATTGTCAGAATACCAGAGATACCTGACCAGAAGGTCAAGTTCACAAGCTTTTCAGTTTATTTCCCTCTTTTCTACTTCCATTTATACTTGTATCAAATCCTTTTTAGGGTTCTTTATCATGGTTTTATCTTTCTACTATTTCTAAATAAATACCTCTTCCTTTTTAACAGTTAATTCTATGATACCAGTAACAAAGTACCAACCCCAAACTAACCTGAAACCCTGTTTTGGCCACTCTGTCAGTGACTGAAAGAGATCTAGGGCCCATATTGATTTAGTATCTTCTCCTCTGACACAGACAGTAACATGGGAACTGCCATGATAGGCTGTAACTGTTGTGTATAAGCAATGCAAAGTTGCTTTACTGAACATACAAGGATATGAGGTGGGGCTGGGGGTCATGTAAGAACATAAAGAGGTGACTGAGGTAGTGGCTTATTATAAGGAACAGTCAGAGCACTGCTAGTTTTGGTAAATGTCAGTTGTTGCTCATGTCAGATGTCAGACTGATAAGAAATCTAAGCATGGAAACCTCTTCACAGTCTCTTTCTTGCCATAAGGTATTTTGGATTGGTAACACTTCACCTCTACAAAAATATATAATATGTTGGCTTATGTGTTCTTAATTGCTTCTGTTGTTCTTTTTTGGCAAGAACAGATTAATTTTCTGTTGTGGACCTGGAACAGCTTTCTAAAAACCTTGACAGTTCAACAGACAAATGTGTATGCTAATTATTTATACAAATTAAGAGGTATCAATCTATTTTTTTTTATATTTCATATATCAATACTGCTTGCTATTACTTAATGTTACTTCAAATGCGCTTAAAACCTTAACAGTATTAAAAACAAATGGAGACAGCATGCCCTATCCTTAACTGAAGGTGAAATATTGGTTTGATTAAAAGATACAGGAGTTTGCACATATTTTAAAATGATCACTTAAAGGTTTAGAATTTTATCCTTCAGTTAACACCTGCAATATTTACTTGGAAAATATTTAAAAAAAAATAAAATAGAAAATTAGAGTCTGAATCTTATCCAAGACATTCTAGCCCTTTCTTTCTTGAGAGAGGGAGTGGTTACCTCATTTTTTTTCTTATTTAAGACAAATGAAGAACATAAGTTTTAAGTTTAGACCATGGGTGTTTTGTTTTTTCTTTTCTCTGCTTTTATGTCAGTGCTGATTTGGGTGTTCAAATTTACTTATCTCTAAAATGAGGAAATTGCAGCTGCAACAGCAGATGGACTTCTGATTTGTGTATCTTTCTTGTGCAGCTCATTAGGCTGAAAAGTTAATTTTGCATGTGTGTTTCAGTGTTACCTTAAGGCAACTTGCCTGACTTTTTTAGTCTTTCTGAAAATGAGGTGCCAAATGTAGTAATAACAATCAACTGTACGTTTGACTGCATTAGATAATTTTTACTCAAGTTTTTAATTGCCTTTCATATTGCATGAGGGAATTCTGAAACATCAAATGAACTATAGCACCACCTGTGAAGTGCTCCCTGAAAATGTTAAGACGAAATAAGTAGGAAATATCAACAGCAGGCAACTTCAACAGCAATGAAGAAAATGCTCTTTCTTTAACATAATTTATCTACCTCTATTTCAGCATAGAATAGTTTGGATACGAAGTTAATTAACTGTTCAGCTTCCAACCTATATTCACAACTTTATATTTGCACAATAAATGAATAAAGATAGGGAAGAAGTTATAATATTTCTATTTACTTCCAGAACCGTTGCTGGAAAAATGAAGGAGCCTATGTAAGGCAAGAAAGAGAACCGAGATAAAAATACTGGTCTCATTGCATTGAAGCCCACGGAGTATTCCACAGAGCAACTGTAGACACCACATACTGGGAAAGCTGTTACTATTCTTATCTCGCCTTATCACTAAACTGCATGGAGTAAGGGAATATGTTTAAAAAAAAAAAAAAAAAGCTGTTGGTTATAGTACACCAAGGAACTAAATTAGATTGGAACACAGTCTTAAAGGCACCTTCTAGCTGTTGGCACTTGTTGCCCTCAATAAACCAGCAATGCATGATTCTAGCTAGTTCCAGCTTATTCTTCCTGAAGTTACCATTGAGGAAGGGAGTGCTAAAATAGAGGAACTACAGATATTAGCCTTAATGGATAGTGGGAGTGACAAAATCCAAATGAAGATGTGCCTCCCATGGCAAAGTGCTCCTCTCTCTGTGTAACAACTTCCGTTTAACTTCCTTACAGTTCTCCATTTTATGTCCACATCAGAATACCACTTAGAGGTTACTTTGTATGCTTTATCTAATGTTTTAGCAACAGTATTTTGGACAAGCAAATTAAATTAAACTTATCTCCATATAGCCTGCCTGTTCCACAGCTTGAAAATGCCAACGTGTGCACTAGAATGTATAGCATATGAAGGTTTTATCTAGCATTTAAGTAATGTCACTGTCCTTATCGTCCTTAGGACTGCCCTTCAAAAGAGAACAATTGCTGTTCTTAAACTGCCACAATAACACAAATACCCCATACAGATGCATGGAAATGTATACTGAACATGTAATTATAGTGCCTTTAAAGTGAATTGGAATTAAAAATACATATTGGCTGTATATGTTTTAAGTGTTTAGTCAATTAAAATATTTTCCAAATTAATTGCCTGTGGCAGCCTCTTAGAAAATCAGGTTAGCTCTGAATATTCAGCTATCTAAAAATATTCAATTTTCCTTGAGCAAATTCTGTGTCCACCTCTGTCCAGAGGGTTGGTGGATTAATAGTATGTTGTAAAGTGATGGAACTCAAATCAAACTTTATTCTTAAATGAGGGTAGAATTTGGGAAAAAAAAAAATCTTTTACATTAGCTCTGCAACCATAAAATCATTTCACTGTTTCCACTTGTTTTGAAAGCACTGTTACAAAAATCAGAAAAAAGTGTTAAAGTGATAACATTTAAATTGGGGGCAGGGGCAAGGGGAGGCAAATCTTACCTTTTCTAATTTGGATAGAGCAAGAGAATAGCAGTCTTTGGCTCTGAACTGCATGAATCTCATATTGGCTGGGTGAGTCAGTTCTGTGATAATGCTTAGGCTTGAGAACAACCTGTATTTTAAAAGAATGTAACAGTTACATCTCTAATTATAACAATTCACAAATGTAAGGTTCTACATAATGCTATAGCTCGTGCTCATGTCCATGTTTTTAATGAAGTGCCTGAAACCTGTGGTGTTTTTTTGGTATAATGACATACTGGTATAATACATTCAAAGGCTGAGCTTATAAAATATTTTAATGCTAGAAAGGAACCACTTAAGTTTATTACCAGAGATTTTTATTTAATAATTTATAAAATGACACAAATCTGTAGGAAACAACAAAAAATGCAAAACTATACAGCCTGCACTTAGTATCTGGTTGCATGTAAACTACCATTTTATTAGAACTTATGTACTCTTTCCATGTGATTTTTTTTTTATGCTTTGTGTCCACAGACGAAGCAATGTAGATGAAAACTGACATTTGTTGGGAGTTGCTGAGAAAATGTATGCTTATGTATACTAATGTTCTCACTTTGAAATATTTACATATACAAAATATTTATAAATTAACACAAATTGAGGCTTCCATTAGCAAAAAACAGTGAAGAAAGTTTAACTCTGATCTAGCTAATTAGACAGATTTTCATGAAGCATACTCAGTAGCTCCTCCCCAGCCCTCGGGTCTCTAAGAACTAGAAAGAAATTTGTAGTTTATGCTATGCAAATACTAAACAACTTGGAATAGAACTCAGATTATTATTTGAGTGTTTCCTCCACAGATTAACATCAGAAAATGAGATGTGCATTTGTAATCTCTTCTACTGATCCTGAAAGTACTTACCTGCATGTGACAAAAGATAATGGTAGTACTAATGACATTATTAATGTGGCTTTTGTTTCATTCAGCTAAAAATTAAAGTGGTTTTCTTGAAAGCCGAATTTAGTAATTTAGTGTTGAATGGAATCCAATGTAGCTTTTTGCAAGCCTTTATTTAGCCTTTTCCCCGCATTTTTGTAGGGAGGACCTTCAATGAAATGGCAATTCAAGCAGAGCCTAAATGTGGGGAAAAGTATGTCAAGACTATCTGCCAGTATGTGTTAATGCCATATTATTGCAATACAATTTCCTAGGTCTGTTGATGCCAAAATGTACAGTCGTGTAATGGTCACACGTTCCCAAACACGTTCAGAATGTATGATGGTAGAAGTGCTAGCCATTCTTATGTTAGCAGTGATCTCTCTGGGAATAACCAAATATTAAATGTGATCATATAAGGAAAAAAGATCATATAAGGAAATGTGATCATATAAGGAAAAATGGCCTTGGTAAACTGGGCGAGAATGTGAATCACTTAACAAGGACCATTTGTGTTGTAGTTCAAAAGGCATTGTGCATGCTCAGGAATTTCTGTACTTTTTTAGCCCTTACAGTCAGACTTTGATACAAACTCTTGAGTGCTGCAGTATTGTTATACAAAGTCCACTTATGTACCACTAAATATTAAGCACTTGGGGAATGAAGTCTACATACATAGAATAAATACATGATAAACACATCCTTGAGATGCAACTGTGGTACATCTTCACTAGCATGCTGTGTGTTATAAAAACCTGTGAAGTGCTCATGCAAATTGAAAAAAGTCCTGATAATATCACACTAGATAGGAATCTGTACTTATTAAGTAGCTTAACAAATGTCTTAAATTTCTGAGGAAGGAGAATAAATTTTCTCTGCATTAATTCTGTATCATGTAGCGCAGAATTACTTAAGCTTCTGCTGACTGGAAATTTTCTTCTATTGCGGTGTTAAAGGACAGGCATTAATATTTGAAAACTAACAATATAACATTCATAACTAAGAGTAACAGGAAATTAAAAGCTGATCTAATGATTAAATATACACAGCTTACAGAAAAAATACAGGTTGCTAGGTTTCTGTTGAAGATAGGTTTAGTTTATCACCAAGATATGAAAACTGTTTTATATTAGGAAATTGGTTTCAAACCTGGTATTAATAAAATTCATATTTTACTTATGAGTGTCTTTTAGCAGAATTAAGGGAAATTACTTTCCAGGTAGTCAGGGTCACATTTATTCTTGCCCTGAGCATAAAGCACACTGCCTGCAAGCTTTCAGCACTGGAGCAGAGTACTTCCATGCAAAGATCCCTCTTGTTTGGGAATCAGACAAGCAAGAGATGCATTTATTTCTTTCCTGTTCCAAAAAGATAAACCAAGAAAGCAAAGTAATGCCATCATAATACCTCATTTGGTTTATCTATAAATTGGTGCTGTTAGATACCAGCCAAACTATTGACTTGTTAGGTATACTGCTGTCAACAGGCTTCTTGCAGTACTTGAAACACAGCCTTCAAGATGTCAGGCAATAAAAAATTAAAAATGGAGCCTCCCAAACACCATCGTTTTAATCCATTAATTAACAGAAAGCAAGAGTAAATATAAACACTCCTCCTAGTACAGACCTACTACCTGAGGAAACCCACTGTTTTTCTGAAGTGAACTCGTAACTGTCAATAGGGACTCAATGGTTGGCTTCATATTTCAGATTAAAAAGTGAAAAGCATGTCTAGGACACAGTCCAAAACTAGTAATTTCTCCTTGTGCTTTTTAACTGTGCTGACTTGTTCTTCCTCATCCAAAGGATTAAAATTTCCTTTCTTAGTCACTGTGACCATTTGAGTCACGCTTCTTTACTCCTTTTAACTATAATTAAGTCAGATAAGCTCGTGTTGTGTCACAGTTTTAATTAGTATGGAACAGTTTCTACCCTCAAAGGTGCTAATAACCCTGTCGTTATAAACAATGCATCTGTCTTCTACGGCGTAAGGGGGACACACTCTTCTGACAAAGCAAGATTATTAATTTATGTAAATCAGGGAATAATGTCAGAACAGGTATATGAGAACTGGCAATGTAGGCCAAACAGTACTGCAGTACTTACACCACCTTTCCAGGCCTGTCCACAAGCCTTAATGAGATGAGCTGATCTGAGTCAATCAAATCAGTTTAGATTAGCCTGTATCTCCAGAACTATTTCCCTTGGTGAGACTTAAGTGGAATCTTCATTGACGAAATATCTTTGAGAACAGCATACTTTAGCAAAACTTCGGTGGTTTAAAATCCTTCATTAATATTAGTTTGTGCTAAGTGCTGTTGTTCTCCACCATGTCCAGCCTCTTCTTCAATAGTTTCTGATATTATTAGCTATTATTAAGTAACAAAACTCCTTTAAGCATATTTTTAAAGTTAATTTACAAAACTCTTTACCTTGGTGCAATGAATGTACTTTATTCTGCAGCACAGATAAATGTCACTACCTTATGCCTCTTCCCAAAGGCTGCTTACTTCTACAACTTTTGCATAATATAAAAACGCAGTGACATTACTGTACTTGTTCTAGGGAAAAACATTAGAAAAAAATTTATACAATACGCTACTTGTGACAGTTTACAAAGTTTTCTGAAAAAGTATTGTTAAGTGTTAAACCAAGATATTTACCCACATTTCTTTTGATATTTGTAACAAGTACCATGCAGTCTTCAAATTATACGGAACCTGATATATAGTTCATATATGAGTTAAAGCTGCCATCTAGTTGTAAGAATTGTGCAAGACAACTGAATGATCAGTAAATTCTAGTTGGACTATGATTTTATTTATTTATTTATTTTTAATATTTTACAAAGTAGAACACAACTATGGGAAAAAATTAACTGGTAGTTTCTAAGTTTTATTTTTTATTGAACCAAATTTTATATTTGGGGATAAAATATATTTCTGAAAAATGTGATGTATGTCAAAGCCTCAGTGAGATACCCTAGAACAACATCATTAAGAGCAGACATGAATGATGCACAGATTAAGTTCAATTATAGTTTCTAAATTGAATTTAGTACCTGTGCTACTATCAAGTACAAATTCAAAAACTCAAAGATAGAAAATATCAAACTTAAGTTTCTTGTGCAACATAGATTTTGCTTCTTTTTGAGCACATGCAGAAATGCTAATAGCATTTAGCTGCATTCTCACACACGATTGTATTAAAAAAAATCTCTCCATCAAAACACTTACGTTTTAATGAGTTCAGTTTTCTAAAACACTGACAGACTCAGATGACTTTTACTATGCACCTCTCTCTGTGGAAGGTAGAAGGCTTGACACAGAAAAGGGTGACAATATTGAATGAGACTGAATTCTCTAGGAAAGGTCTTAATTTTGTCCAGGTCTTATTAGAATGAACATCAGGAAGTGCTAGACTTAAGCCCCAAATCAGGGAGGCATTTCATACTTGACTGTGTGGTGTGTTTTGCTTTGCGTGGGGTTTTGTGTTATGTTTTTAAGCAAATAACTTTTTTCACAGTTTAAAGGACATGTATCTTTTGGTACTTGTTGAATCAAGATATTTAACACAAAGTGAGTCTTTAATCAGGAGCCGTTCTCAAATGAACAGGAAACCTTAGTATGTTTAGCTCTTCATCACAGTACTGCCTTCTCAGCCTGTTTACTAGACTGATCATTTTTTCACTCCCTAATCAGTTATTTTTTCATGACTTAGTATGTTGTTGTCATATATAATGTTGCATACATGTACCTAAAAACCTTTTTTTTGTTCAAAACTACATATTCAAAATGTGAACACTTACTACTACCTTCATAGCGATGCACTGCTTACCTTTTAGCATTAGAAAGATCTGCTTTTCATATTGGCTTTAGCATTACTGTGAAAGACTGCTGCACTGAGGAAAAGTTTCTTTTCTCAACTATCTTTGTTCCTAAGTCTTCAAGAGTTGATTTCTTTTCCTTCCTGCAAATCTGACAGCGGACTTCTAAAATGACTGTCCAGTTTTGGGATGCATAGAATTTAACCTGAGATTTCAGAGTACCTCAGGATTCTGAGTGCATTGCTAAGCAGTGTGGGAAAAAGTTTGCCCATGTAAGACACAAATTCCTATAAGGGAAAACTTAAGTAGAAGAAAGGAAAAAAAAAAAAAAAATTCTTATCTGAGTACAAAAGGCATTAAGTATTCACAATTAATGACGATGTATAGAGAGGTTGCAAAAATGCCTTACCTAAAGAGTGTTTGAACATTTACAATAGTTTTAGCATCTGCCATGTAGTCTTCCTCAGCACTCATTGTACTTTCTTTGTCCACCACCACCATGTTAGCTGCAAAGGTGACCCCACATCTTAGTAAGTCATCTAGGCTTTTGTGAAGAGAAAGAGGAAGAAAGAAATATGCAACTTAAATATGGACACTTAAAATATTAAGGATGATTGGAATTTGCAGATCACAGGTTGAGTTGCTGATTCCCTTCGTCTCCATGTATATATCATAACTCCCAATATAATCTATATCAAGTATAATATAATCTCAATTAATTGATAGAATAGAATATGAATAATTATTTTCCTTGAAGACATACTCAATGCACTTCAGTAGGTTGCTACAGTTCCTCTCCATTTGCTAAAATGATAAATTTATTTCAAAGTTTTAAAATAAGCCTTTAACAGTGACTTGGGAAGACAGTACGTCTGTACATGCTACAACAACTTGCTTCATTACAGTTACTTTTGGCAATAAACAGACCCAAATAAATGCTCTGGGTTGCTCTTTCCCACAATTATATTTCAGTTTTAAAATGCTAAGAAGTGTTCTACTAAGACATCTAATACATTCCTCTTTTAGGTTCATCTATGAGTTGGAGCATTCTCATTATGCTTTTAGGAGCAGCTGTAGATCAGGAAAACTGCTGGACAATGTTTCCTGTGAAGCCTGACCACAGGAAACACTCACAGACAACTGAGTTACGTTTGTAACATAGCTTTGTTTCCAAAATGAAGGATGTTTCTGTTGTTTTAACAATAATATTTTCCATAGAAACCAAGCACTCTTCAAAAAGTTTAGAAAGGACTTTTCTGTAATTATAAAGACTGCTAGAGACACAGCAATTTAAGAAAGGGTGAATTTCATGGTTTCCAGGGGAAATTGGAAAACTACATTTTTGCATCATTCTGTTCACTTCCAAGGTGAAAACCTGTTTTGTCATTATACTTGCTTCTCATTTGGCAATCTACAATATTAACCAAATCCTAATTATCCTGATACAGGTTTTCTTTTCAGTGATGATTACTAAGTTTATGTAACCTATTATAAATTATTTTTAAAATTTTGAGTAAGGAAAACTCTAAAAATTTGTGATATTTATTTTACGTCTCATACAAAACAAATAAGATAATTATTTTTGAAACTGTGCAATATCAGAAAAGAAAGGCTGTTTTATATGATCTATACGAACAACTTCAGTGCACAAGCAGAGCTCCAAACTTTGAGTAATTTGTATTTTTGCTTTTCCAGTCTTTCAGTTGATCCCTGAAAATAGCAGCATAATCTGAAATACCCAGATTTTCTGCATTTCAATGTTACACAAGCTCAACAGCTATTCTTATTTTAGCGGTTACATTCAGAGAATTTGTGGAGAATTTAAAAAAATTAATTTAGAATTATTATAATTCTAGTTCTCAGGTACCTCTAGCTATATGTTTTTTAATGCTGAATACATTATAATCTGAAATCTATTCAGTTACAGATCTCAAATCATTTATACTTGAAGACCAGGTATCTACTACTTGATGATATATTTTTATTAAGTTCATCCCAGCTATGAATTTTGGTAAAGCTATTTTTCTGTAGGCCATCCACTTCTAACAGAAAGGGAGTGATAAATGAGAGTGATTCCTTTGGTGGTTTTCTCTAAGATGATGATATTTCATGTCAGGTGACCAAATGACAAATATTTTAAACACTTAAAGGTGGTAGGTAGGAACACACTTTGGGAATGTGTTCTAAACTCATTAAGTAAGATAGGAAACTTTGCATTTTACATTGTAGTTCTTAGCTAAAGATGATAAACTTCTATTAATTGTATATGAGTTTAAAGCATGTTTAGGAAAACACATGGAATAAGTATGAACTTTTTAAAGGTATTGTCATTGATGAAAACAGATGTCAACCCACTCCCCCACCCCTCAGTATGATTGGTTATTGCACTAGGAAATTAAGTGATTGTATTGTCAGAAAAGATGCAGAAGTTCATGCTCGTATTACTGTGAACTGTAGAATTCTGTATAATCATTTATTTCAAAGACTGCACACTTTTTATGCATTCAGTTCTAAAAACAGCAGAACACGTTTAGGGAGGGATTTGACGATTTCCTTTTTGAAATAAACTCAGTAAATGTAATTGAATTTTACTATTCTATGTTAAAACCAGGTTAACATCTTTGGGTTATTAATTACTTTGGATACCTTGAGTCAATTCAATTATTCTGCTGCTATGAATTATTTTTATAATTATTGTGGAATTAAGAGTTAAGAAAGTAGTAGATATTAACCTGAAACACTTTATTGGTTTAGAGGAAGAAATGTAGAAAGTGATAAACATTTCTGTAGATTCTTTGCGAATCTCGCAATGACTATGGTATCACCAAGGAAAACCTGTAACTGTATCACTATTATAAGTAATTTTAAAGCCCTCGTTACAACAGATTGAGATGGAGAAGCACTGAATCTCCATAATTCTGATTGAAAAACTGGATACTGTTAATTCAGGGCAGGAAATAAGTTTTTTGACTTCTACCTGGGAAATCAATATGGTTGCTTGTAGCCCCAATTCAATATTAGCTACATAGTGAAGCAAACTATTTTCTTCTTTAAATTGACACTCTATGCACAGGAGTTTACTAAAATGTTAATGAGCCCTTGCTCTTCTCTTGTTTCTGCCTGTTTTTTACATTAGATCTATGTTGCTAAACTTAGATATGCAAGTATGTATTAGCAGAGTTGAAGACAGAAATGTAGGAGTAGGTGATATTTTAAGTGGCAGAAGATGAATACTGTTGGACACATTCAAGACTGTCTACATTCTGTAGTTACCTTTACAAAACCCTAGTCAGTAAATCCAAACAAATTCTAATTAAGTATAGAACAACACTAGAATCAGGGCTATAATCTGGCAATTTAAAGAAACATATTAATCCACCTAAATAAGTGTAAATCTTATGTTTTTGAAAATGTTAACCTGTGCTCCCTGTCACACTTTTCACTAATGATATCCTTATAAGTCAGAAATTTTAAGTCCCAAATTATAGCACACGGACACAAACCATGCATGCAAAAAGATCATCTTCAAATACAACACCCACTTAAACATGCAATGACGATACAAACAACAAACCACTGAGCACTACAATGTTAAGTTTTCTAACAGTTATTTCACCTACTTGTCGATAGAGCCCACCATGTAGTAAACCATTGGAAACCAACAGATTGCATCCAGAAAATGCATATCTGGCCTAAGCAGCAGATGGGATTACAAAATGAAACACAGTATCACAACAGCAGCATCTTTTCTAAAATATTTCAATAAATTGGTAGCTTTTTTAAAAAATAACTTTTTTAAACTTCGTCAGTATAATACAACTTTAAACAGGAAATAGGTTTGCAGAAATCTGTGAATAAACAGTTTGCTGTGATCATAAAGAATGATCTGAATTAACATGCTTTAATTAATAAATGCACCTCTTAAATCAGAAATTTTATGGCACAGTACAGTTCCAAATATAAGAGTGAATGACTGATATCGAAGACACACTACCAAGTTATACTCCAATGTATGACTTAGGAGTACTTAAAATAAGCAGTGAGAATTTTTAACTAAAATGTGAAGTGGAATGAAAATGAAGTGAATGGAAACCCAATAATCACCCGGTTTTTGTGCCAACAGCTCCATTCAAGGCAATGAGACAATCTTAGATGAAAATTTATTTTTTAAAATGGAACGTTAAAACTAAGATACTGTGTATTATTGCATTGTTTCCTTAATCATAAATTTTACTATGTTTCTTACATACCAAGAAACATAAGAAATATTAAAACACGTGATGTGTAGATTTTAGAATAAGCATACTGTAAAAAATTGCCTTGATAAATGGAGAAAATAGGAATATAACAACAAGGCATAGATATGTTCATCGAAGGTGGATGAATTCCTAGGTCCAGTGAAGCAAATTACAAAATTCCAATTGACTTAAATGGCAGCCTGAATTCCACCTCATACATGTATGAAAAGCATGCTGGCTTTCAGCTAGCTTCTGTAGTCCCATGAACGCTGGCTTTTCAGACGAGTCACTGCAACTGCTTTGCAGAGAGATACAACACTATGGGGATTAGTTTAATTAGCAACCATAGCTTTCACTTTATCCGTATATAAAGTGTTTTTAGCCATCAAATGTCACAAAAGCATTGAAGTATGTAAACTCAGGCTCTGTGCTGGAAAAGAGAATAAGCACTAGAGGGCACTGTATGCTCACATCTTTTAATCTTTTTGTCTTCCAAATTGTGATTTTAAGTACTTGAGCAGTGTTACAAAACAAACAAACAAACAGAAAGTATCATTCATTCATTGCCAGATTATAAATGAATCAGTCTTCCCATAGAAGAATTTGTTGTAAATTTTAAAAAGCTAATGCAAGAAAGGCTAAGAATTCCAGTGATGTCCAGACAGGTATGATGGTAAGAACGATATTGTAGGTTTTAATTTTCTTCCATGACTTTATACAATGGTATACAAAGGGTGGGTGGCTGTCCCACTGGCTTAAAGAACTATTTATCATGGAGTCTAAAATTATTAAAAATATACCTAACTGGTTCAGGCCACTAAGTGCCTTGTGTTAAGTGGGTTAGTGTTTTCTGAAGTGCTGTCATGTAGCTGTGAAAGTGTTACACAGTTCACTTTTTACAGTGTTTATGACATTATTTAATTTTAGCAAATAGCTGCGTTATTCTGGGTATTTCTAAGAAATACTTAACTGAAACATTAGCCATGAAGAATAAGGACATTTAAATTCAATATGGCCTTTAACAGTCAGTAAGAAGTCAATTTTGTTTACAACAGTGAACATAGTGTATTATTTTTGTCACTAACTTCTCTCAAAGGTAAATGTGCCATAATGTTTTTGATTTTAAGTTCGCCATATGAAGAGTGATCATCTATTGAAGTAATGGTAAAAAGAATCTAAACATATTGCAAAAAAAAAAAAAAAAATTAAAATCTACTTACGGGTTATCCAGGAGTAAAACAATGGGATTTAGTTCTTTCTTTGGACGATAATAAGCTCTAAGTGGAACAATAAAGTTATATAAGCCATTTCCAGCAGTTTCTGCTGCAACTATAATCAATTTATTTTTGAATCCATAGGCTTTGGCATCTTCATAGTAGTTATGCTGGCATCCCTAAAATCAAAATAAGAAAAAAGTTCAGTGGGTGTGAATAAAGAGATTTAGTTGTGGCATTAAAGGGTTTTATGGTTAGAAATACAAAATTTTATCAGCTGACCTGACTTGATTAGACATAAATATATGCTTGGTGATGCAAAGGATAAGAAAACATATTATAGCTTAGTAAGTTCTGAAAAAAACCTAAGCAGAAAGTAGAATTTAACTCTGTTCAGATTGTCTGTTTCAAGAAAGAAACAAGAATGCAGTTTTATCCAGTAATAGAAACTCCTTTTACCTTATCTAGTCTTAGACAACAGAAGGGTACTTTTTCATGCAGAAGATGACAAAATGTAGGAGAGCTTCCGATATATGGAGAGTAAGGAGGATAGCCTTTGGCATACCTAGAAGAATAGAAAAAGCATTTTTCAGTAAAGCAAATTACTGAAACACAGTTGACTGTACAACTGTTTATACCTATTGTCTAGGTTCTGCAGTTATCTGTAGACTAGTAAAGTCAAGTACATTAAATGAATTATTTTTAATAAGGATCAAAGGAATTTATTTTGTAGCTTCAACCAATTCAATACAATTTAGTGAAAGCTATTATGCTTTTGTGGACTAAAGGAATTTTGCTTTTTTTTTTATAGGCATCTTTGGAAATGGTTGATGTAGTGTGCTATTGTTTTGAAAGTATGTACTGGAAATTTCTAAAGGAAGGTAAAAAAGGAATGAAAGAAAACAGAAATAATCATGGTGCTTCTGCTCTTGCTTTTTTTTTCTTTCAAACACATCAAGAATGAGTGAGGTTGTCACCTTCTTGCTTTAATAACATACTTTCAACATGGTTGTAATAAATTTTCAATGGCAAATACTCTTGCTGATGAGATTAAATTTCTAATCTGCCTTAGTTTTAATAAGAAGTCTTTTAAATCCTGGTATTTCAGTCTGCAGATTTAAGATGACTTGTTCTATTATTTTTTTTATTGGAGCTTTATGATCTTCCCTGGGGCTTCTCATGCTTGCTGCTGTTGGAGATGGGAAACTGTGAGCCACTGGCTTAATTGTTTATTTCAATTTTACCATCCCTGTCAGTAACAACAATAAACATAATTGCTTATCTGTATGGTAGTTAAAGGATTGAATCATCTGTTTTTATCTGAGTAATGCATCATTACTTTCAGCAACATGCTAACAAGCATTTTAAATCAGATGTAATAATTTTGTCTCATACTGCATTTTTTGTCATTCCCTCGTTTTGAAGTCAAACAGCTAGCCACAGTGTTCAACAAGCCTGTTGAATGAGCTGATTATCACTGCATTCTCAGGACAGAGTACTTATCTGTTTACAAATCAGTTGAGTTCTGTCTTTATAACTATAGAATACAAGAAAAAATATCATTAAAATGCAATTAAAAATTGCAATACACAACTAGAACTTTATAACTGAGTATAGAAAATCTCCAGCAAATGGAAGAGTTAATCTGGGGGGGGTTTATGTCAAAATAGGTATAATGGCATTCTGCTAACAGACAACAGCATTTTGTAGAAGGGAATAATTCCATAACTGGTCTTTATGCATCTCGCTTGCTACAACTGCTTCGATTGATCTGCATGCCAAAAATTATCTATGCCATTTATATAATATGAGCTTTTCAAATTGTTGTTTATTTTATATTTAATATACATACTCTAAAGCTGCAGAGACTTCATCATCTGATGGGGTAGTTTCATCTTCTGACTGGTCACTTAGCAGGTCACACGTCTGAAGTGAGGATGAGTCTGCAACCTCCAAAACAGGTGCTATACTGGGCCGTCTGCCCTCTTTACCTCCCTCAGAAGGAAGAGCTAGTGTCCGTCCACTGGATGTTCGGCATCCTGTATCTTGCAAATCGATAGCCACTGTCCCTGAAGTATCATTGAAAGCATTTTTCAGTGTGGTTGTCAAAATATTTGAACAAGATTCCCATATTTAGTAGGGATTACCTGACTACATGGCCAAAGACTGAAAGGAATACTATACCGATTGTGGTTATTATAATAAAATATAACAAATATTTAAACTATACCTGAGGAAGACTTGCCCTGCAAAGTAGCACTTTTTCTGACCATTAATATGTATTTTCTTGTTAACTACCTTTATAAAATCATACTTTGTGTAATTAATCCATATTTATATATATCAACAACATGTAGGTTTTCTTGAGCAAGGGCATTTTTTAAAGAACTTTATGAAAACTTGTTACAAATAACCAGTTATGAATAACAAAGAAAATACCTGTGTGATTTTACCTGTGTGATTTTCCCAGTTATTTTGCTTTGCATATATTTTATTATTGCTTTTTATACAACTCTCTTAAGTGATTTAATTCCATATTGTTAAGTAAAAGAAAAACAAAAGAAAAACATAGCCAAATTCCATTTGAATTTTTTTTTTTAATACAAGGGCAAGTGTTTAATATTTTTCCTTTCCGCACAATATTATAATTTCTTAAAATTTTAGAAATACACTGATAAAGCTTTAAAATGCACTATTTCTGAATCAGACTATGTTGTGACTATGTTGTGAGGCCTTTTTTATACTTACCCATGCTGGCTATTATACTGTGTACAGGTAACCTAGAAGCTCCATGATATGATAATTTTGATTCATGTTTTTTTCTATGCTTTTCTTGCTTCTTAAATGCAGAATTCTCTTCTTTGGTGATATTTATATAAAAGCATGTATCTGTAGAACTCATGATATATCGAGGACCTGGATTCAGCAAAATGTTTTTGTTATCTTCCTTTCTAACACCAATCAGACAGACTCCAAACCTTAATTAGAAAAGGAAAGGCATGGTTCATTTTGCATAGTCCCATATATACCAGAATTTCCACTGTCAAAAATGAACCTCCAGTGTATTTTGATAGTTTTGAGATCATGAACATCTGCAGATTTTTGGATGACAAACATGTTTGAAAAATGTCTCCTAAATAGGCCACTTCTGATCAAGCAGTTTTTAGGAGCTCATGAATCCCAAGGCACTGGAATGCTACTGTTCTATTCCCCATAATAGTCTAATGCTATCCCAGTTGATTTTTTTCTATCCTTTTTTTTCTGTCCTTTCTGGGAAAATATTAGTAGAAGAATGGATATATAATATGAAAAAGTATTCAGCGTGTTATATTGTTCCATTATCCATACGTAATGGAAACTATTTTCAGAATTCATTTTTACAATTCATTCCTAGAAATGTATTTGATTAGTGATAGAATATAAGGAATTAAAGCAAAAAATAAAAATCTTTCTCTCACTAAGTATGAGAATAAACTCAGTATTGAGGGTTTTATACATGTTCGTTTTGTTAAATATATACGAATATACATGATTTGTGTTCAGTTTGCACATTCACCTCACAGAGCAGCACTGAATATGTGATGCATGATCTGGAACCTGAAGAAGATATGTCAGCATCTAACAGAAAAAAATATGGCTTTATTTTGAACAATCACCAGAATGTAGCATGTACCACCTTTAAATTGAATATTTTGCATGAAATGAACGTGCCACAAAGGAAGCCAAAATTCCAGCTGATGCCTAAATAAATTTAAAAAAAAACAACCCCCAAAGCACTAACACTTTCCCACCCACACTCTTCTAGGTTGTCTGGGGCATGGAAAGGGACTGGTGTTCCCGTACAACCTCTCTAAGGTACAATTTTTTTCTGGTTGTCAGGCTTCTCCTTTACATCCTTTATATTCCATTCTCAAAAACCGAGCTGGCCTATACAGAACCAACATGAGCTTTTACTTGACCAGCTGTGACTTACAGAATAATATCCATTAAATATAATAGTGGCCAGATATTTAAACCCAGAAATAGAGTAATATGTAATACTGCACCTTTGAATGCAGAGCTACATTGCAAGCAAAACAAATAATTACTTGTTTGAACTTTTAATTGTTGATAGGAAAACAAACGTACTTTTTATGTGCATGAAAAGAAGCATATGTGAAGCTTTTCCCCTCATACTCAGCAAAAAAAGTACTTTCTTCCAGGTTAATATGATACACTTCGTTACTAGAGCATCTGCCATACATTTTCTGCCATTGTTCTGGTGATTGCTGACTCTCCCTGAAACATGTGCAGATAAAGAGAATAATTTAAAACTTAATGTAAAATTCTTATTAATCAGAACAATATTTCATGGCAATATAAACTTCAAATGTGTATTAAAAAGGTCGTATAGGCTAATCTGAAATAAATATTTGAGATCAAAGCTTGGCAAAACTAAGTACAGACATTATTTTAATGAATTAAAGAGCATTTTCTGCTAAGTAATAGGCATATAAGATTATGTACTTTAATATCGAGAGAGATATGGCTGAATTACTTTAAATTCACACCATAATAAGTAGATTCATTGCAATTCAAAGATGACAGGTGAAATCAACAGCATGCTCATTCTGTTCATAAAGACAGTCTCTTCAGATGCTCCATGACAGATTGTCTGCTTCCTGTTTGAAGTAGGTAAAGAATCATTAAAAATAACTTATGTAGGAATGACCCATTTGGCTTCAGTTTCTTTATCTGTAAGAAAGATTTTGTTCTGCATTTGCTTATCAGTTATCTCCAGCGTTTAACTCCATGGACATTTTTAGTTACTGTATCTTGTATACTATGACAAGTATATACCTTCTTTTATCTAGTGCAAGAAAATAAATTATTACTTTAACCATATTAAGCATATCACTATATGTAGCCAACGTTCTTTATCCAAATGGACTGTTAGTGGAAAAGTTCCAAGCCTCCGCTAACACCAAAACTTGCAGACTTGGCACTTCTGTGAACCTGTTACTTTATTAAGTTTCATGTGGAAACAAGGTTCTGTGTGCATGAGTTTTGCTGGATATAATGGATACATACATATATATATATATATGCAGATAGGACAGAAAACTGACAAATGTGCTCTGTGTTTTGCCACTTGGAGCTAAGATCTCAAGATAATGGGCTATGTTCCTATGTGCTCATTCATACATTTTTCACTACCTTAACACAATTTCTGTTTTTCTTTAATTTACCATTCTCCACCCTCAGCACAGAAACATTTTGTTTCAAGATAGAACTAAATAAACAATTTTTATTGCAACAGTATTAACAAACAGTGCACTAGGTGTAGAATATCAGAACTATAAATGTAATTACAGAAGAATTTTTTTCCATATTTCACTTTTTCCCCTAAAATAAAATGTTCACCTGTTTAAAGTCTGCTTGGTTCCAGTTAGTTGTCTAAAAGCTTCCCATGGGGCTGTTCTGTAAAGATCATATTAAGTTCAAGTCAGAAAGGCTATTTTCTTCTGATATTTTGTGTCATAATACAAAGCAAAGTTATTTACTAGATTAGATAATGAGATGACATTTAAAGATAAATATGAAGATTAATAATTAAGATGAATAATAAGATTATAAATAAGATTCAAGGTAGAATTTTGGTGTTTTACAGACTGAGATTTTGAATTCCATAAACAGCTGAGAAGACAATGGGATTATTTACATTTAGTTTGTTTAATCCGAAAAGTAGCATTACAGACCAAAGCCAGTTCACACAAATAACAGCAAACTCCCCTTAATTTTAATAGCAAGTTGATCTGGCCAAAATTGCTTAGAAAATAAACATTTTCCCCAGTCTCCGCACATGAATACCAGATGATAAGGTGTTTTTAATTTATGTATGTTTCTTTTTGTTTGCTGTTTATTTTATTATCATTCTAATTAGGATAATAGAGAATAACAATTTTTCCTGTGTTCTGCTATGTATTGTGTTCAACTTCCAGTAATTTCCCAGTGTACTTATCTTCATGATTATCAGAAATAAGGTTGTATTATTGACAGTGTCATACTATTTCTTAATAAATACAGGAAATACATTCCCTGTGAAATAGGTAGCACTTTATTTGTGAGAGTATAACAAACAGTTGGAACAATGTTTTACCTATGAACTGTCAATGAACTGTTTCATTCCATTAAAACGTAAGTCACTTAGGTTAAGATGATAACTTCACTAAATTAACAAATGTTAGGAAGCTAGAATTTGAAAGTGATCATGTTTTCAAATGAATGACTTTTCATAAGGGAAATGACAAAAAGCAAGAAATGTTGTGGTTGGTTCTTTGATACTCTCCTTTGGTTACATGCACCTAAAGCACTATGTAAAAAGAAGAACCGTTCTTTGTGGAATGGAAAGGCATAGGAAGTCATTTGAACTTGCTTATCTGTGATAACTTGAACAAATGTTCCCAGTCATTATATTGAAGTTACTAAACTTGTGAGCGAACAGATATGGGGCTCTGTGAATGAAAATCTGAACTAATTATTAAGAAATTCTTTCCAATGACTTTGAACACTTTATGAAGATTACCTAAGGTTGGAAGCAGTTGATTCATTGCAGTCTCCCCATAATCCAAGTCTGTTATTTTTATGTAAGAGAGTCAATACTGACAGGGATTTAAAAATCAAGTCACACTCAAAGTTTAATGCAGGTGCTGGTAGTAACCAGCATAATGAAAGGATAATGAAACAGGAAGCAGTATAAAGGAAAGCAGTTCACTGTTAACACTGGAAGTCTATTTAACAAATATGTTTAATTAATTAAATCTAATTTAGTATTTAGTTTGGATATGAATGCATGCATAGATAAAATTTTTATTTGCAGTTTAAATGATCTGTTTTCACTTCATCTTTTTACTTATATTTAGCCAAACTCAAATCTTCATCTTTCATAATTTACCTGTTGTTCAACATTAGAAAATATCTAGAAGAGCCAAAACAATTATTCTGGTTTATAAATTAGTCGAATCCAAAGCAGTTTTATGTCTACAATATAATGACAACCTGTAGATGAAGCTCAAAACTGACATCTAGTTTGAAATTATTTTTCCCTGAAGACAATGAAGGGCAGAATCATTTGTTTTACCAATGCTTTTCAAACACTCTAGAGTCAGTGCAAATCCCAAGAGATGCTTAGGAAGAATATAGATTTAAAGGAATTTTTCCTCTAAAACATTAGTGTATGCTTAATAAGAAAGTTTAAAAACAAATTTCTTAACCTAAGTATAATACTTCTAAAGGGTACATTTATATCTGTATCTAGCTATGAGTTAATATTAGTTAGCAAGTGTTTAAATCAATTACGTTGTTGCACATAAAAATTATGATTAAAAAAGTAAAATAAGTATAAGATAGACAAAATTGGGACACTGAAGTGGTAATTCAGGAAATAGAAAGTATTTTCACATATTTAAATATTTTATATGATTTTTCAATTATGTGTGATTACTGTCCTATAGTGCATACTTGTTAAAAATCAGTGGTTATATCTCTAGTTGTTCAGGATTATCTTAACTAAATGTTCAAGGACACAAAACTTCCAGAGTAAATACAGCCTGTGTAACATTCAGTTATAAGCAAAAAGTAAGCTCAAGTACATCATTATTTAACGTTTCAGTGGGGTTTTTTATAGGATCAGAGCAGTCAGCTTTGTGCTCATTTCCTGATTTTGAATGATTGACTTGGTGATTTTTATCATATATTGAATAGATTTGTGTACTTGTACAAAACTTAATGAAAAATTAAAATCACAGTTAATTAGACTTTTGAGAACATATTCCAGCCTTCCCAAGGGATTTTTAAAAACTGCAAGGAATAAAAGGGGAAGAAAAACCCCACCAGTTTGGGAATTATGTACCCTTTTATGTATGGGAATTATGTAAATTTTTTGCAAAAAGAAATGAAGTAGCAAAAATATTAAATTTGAAAGCTTAAAAAGTTTTAAACTTTCACAGATACAGTGTGGTTTTAAAGAACAGTCATCTCTATTCAACCAATTAGTCGAGTATTAATACGCATGCTTGAAGATATCCAAAGTTTGTTATTTTTCAGTATTTTGGAGTCCATCTGAGATTAAATGCTCTGATGAGTGATGACTAAAGAAGAGTGACAACTAGACATTTTCACTTTTCCAGTCTTTCTATATTTATACAGCAAACTTGTATGTTTCTGTAAGGATTCAAAGTAATGCTGACAACTATTTGCGTGAAAAAAAAAAAAAAATTTGTTCCTAGTATACAATGACCAGACTAGAATCACATCAATTAATTCTGATTGCAAGATTAATAATAAGTACTTTTGCATTTTGCTACAGTTACTTCGCATCATATAGCTGGAAATCTGTATAAATGATTAATTCTTCAAAAATGAAATCTGAAGTTCTTAAGTACAGCAGAAAACAGAGTCCCTTTCATATGTCTGGTTTTGTGCTGATGGAAAATTCTCTGCTAGCCATTAAGAATACTACACTTCTTTCATGTATATATGATATGAAATAACTGAAAAAGGCTCTGTATTCTGTGCATGTCAGATAATGAAAGCCAGGCAGATGAAGAACGTATTTCACCATGATGCTCAGGAGGCATGGAAACAGTATTTTGTTGTTGTGTTAATAACAGATTCTAGTACAGACAGTGCCACTAAAATATTGACATTTGTTGTTGAAATTTCAATTTTCCCCATCCTGGGCACATGGGAACACTACAAATAACACATAGAAGGTTAAATAACTGTGTTTGTGATTGTCAAGATATTACTGGGTCTATAGTTACCTGAAAAAAAGTTTGCATTTTTACTAGACTATCAAATGTCTTCTTGTGCAGTCTATATGCATGTATTCCATTTCTACAGATATATTACGAGATTTACTCTTTAATGCCCCTTTCAGCCCACAACATTTTAATATGAATACTTTATTATTCCAAGAATATAGCATAACAGAGATATACTAGATGTGGTAAAATTATTTTGGTAAATATAGAGAGGTTCTACTACGACTATGCGGTCTGTAGAGACACTGTAATTCTGTATGCCTTCCAGCAGTGTGGTGGTTATGTTAAAACCATGTTGTTTTGTTGTTGTTGAACATACACGTTCACATGTATGTTTGCTTGCTTCTTAATTTACAGGCACTGATTAGCAAATAATATTGTATATGTTATCAGAAAAATATTTTTTTAGCTCAATGAAATGAATTTTTATATGTGTATAAGAATAGACCTTCAAATTAACATATTAAAATAGGTATTCTTGGGTTTTGTTGGTGTTCTTAAGTAGAACTGTGTGATAGGTCCGTGATTCAACCTGCTAGATTGGAAATACAAATTTTTCATATCTTCTATTGTGGAAGTGGCACAACATGCAACAAATTGTTAAATATTGGGGGAGGAAGTTCTCTTTGAAATTTTAATATCTTGAGTAAAACATCTTGATGCTTCTACTGTGCAGAAAGTTCCATTTTCTTTTTGAAAAACTGTAGTTGTCTGAGAGTTCAGGGTAAGCCATTTTCCAAAGAATATCAACTCTAACTTTTACAATATCAGCTATAACTTTTACAAGTTTAGTTTTGTTTTTTTTGTTGTTTGTTTGTTTGTTTGTTTTTAATGTTAAGTGTATACTTACTGCCCCCTAGATGTATGAACCAGCAGTGTGATTAATGTAGAGGTAGCTGGGCATATACAATTTAGAGCTAGCATAGCATATTTGAATTCTTCTTCACACACAACGTGATCTGTAGAAAAAAAGAAAATATAAATTGTTTTACAAAAATACTTTCCATTGAACATAATTATAATTTCCTTTCCTTGTCTAGGAAAATGGTGAAGATAGGGACAATCAAAGTTTGTCTCCAGATCTTTATCTTCTTGAACCTGGAGAGCAGCTGTGTATGGTTTGCCCCATCCATGCTATTTCTCAGATTGTATAAGTAGAGTTAATTTTGCATCCAGTTCGTACTTTCTGTCCCACAGCTACACATGGAGAGGATGCAATGACTCTGTGAACCCCACTACCACTATCTCGCCGCACTAGTTGTATGAGTAAGCCACGTAGCATAGTCTAGTTTGTATCTGTTGCACCTTCTGCAGTTTTGCATAAACTGGTATAGAGACATCAAGCATTGTACAGAGATGGAATTTTGTGTTGAGGAAATAGCATACCTAGGACACTGCAATGCAAGAGTGATGATCAGTGAGATAGGCTGTACTGGCCTGCAGACTGTTATTTGGGAGTGGCTCTGGGATTCTGCACTGCACTTCAGTGCATGATGTAGATTTGACTAATATCTCCCCCATGAACTGATAACAGCTGCTGTCTCCTTGCAATCTAGGCAAGGGAGGTGGCTGGTATTTTCTTTTCCAGTTTTTTACAACTTTGCATTCTTTTTACCCCAGTCTTTGTCTGGCTTTTTTAATCACAAAATTGTGCTTTGCTTTTGAGAGTCTTTACAAGAATGTATGTCTGCACATTAGTACTTGCTGTGATGGAACAGTACTAGAGACTTGTCTATTTTTTTCTGTCTTTTAATTGAATTTAGGGGAGGAGAAGTGAGAAGAGAAAGCAACAGAGGCATTATATCTAGTCCTATATATTGGCTTTTGCTTTAAACTACCAAATCTTCTATACATGCTTTCTGTATAGTATGAATTATTATTCAACTTGGATGGCTAGTGCTTAAAATTCAGATTGCAGTTAAATGCTCTTCTGTGTTGGTGAAGGTATGAAAAGGAAATAGGTATATGAAAATAATACCCCACCTACTTCCAGAAGTGTTTTGAAGCTTTTGAGTTCTCAAAGGTACTTTAAGAACACTAGGTGAAAGATTCTTCAGTAATCTAATTACCATGATTAGAAATTCTGTAGACATTTGAGACATGTAGAGAGGTATTATGGGTTTCTCCTCTTAGCTGGAGTTAAGTTCTTGTATTAAACACAGATCAGGTCAAAAGTAACTTGCGCATTTCTTCAATAATTTGACAGATTACAGCTTGCTTATAATGTTACTGTGTTTTATATTTACATTCAGGACTCTTATTGTGGAGCTGTGGTGAGGGTTATACAGAACTTTATTTGATGCTTTCTCTTCTCAAGCGAGTAGGGAGGAAGCTAGGTGACAGCTCTCCCACTCCTCAGGTCTGGGACATCAGCCAGGTCCTGTGACAGTGGGTACTAGAATCAGCGAATTATTCATTCAGTGTGGCAGTGAAGCAGCAGAGGAAACTGCAGTTTATCTTGAATTTAATATTAAATATGTCAAATCAGTTTACCAAACAGAAGTGTTTTGATTGCATTTATACTAAAGAAATATTCCATTTAGAATTTCCAGAAGCTGTAGTTTCTGTTGAAAACAAATTTTGACAGAAAATTTGTTGCTAAGTCTGTCTCAAATAGATGTAGTAATGCAGTGTGGTGAGTTATGACTTCTGTAATGTTCTGGAACATAAAACATACTCAAAATACTGATTTATGCCTGCAGCATAAGCCATGTGGTAAGAATGTCTTAGACCTGACACAATTATTCTGAGAAACTTCACTTTTTGTCAATTTGATAAGTTAACATAATCACGACCAGACCAGATACAGAAAAATGCCCATCCATTATCTGTAGACTATTTTTGTCTGTAATTGGGTAGATTAATCATCAGATGCATTCAGTATGCATTTTGGTGAATCTGAACTATATTCCTTTTGAATAAGCCACTGAAGGTTTAATATCAGACTTCACCAATCTGTGCTAATTCATTGATTCATGTTCAATAAACAGAGAATATCAGAATGTATGCCCAGTTCCTGGAATTGTGATTACACAGAATTTCTGAATATTCAAGGTAAAGGTGATTAATTTATTTTCTAGCAAATATATAAAAGTTTAAAGCTCAACTCAGAAAATATGCAATTTACTCCATTCTCTGAATTGCATAAATACATTGCTTTGCTGTGCACAGTCTTCACTTTATCTCATGTTTGTGCTGAAGTGCAAGGCCAGATGCATGTGTTAAAGGATACATGGCCTTTTGTAGCCCTGTGTGTTTGAAGAAAATGCAGGAAGATTAAGAAAACCACATGTAACTGCTAGTGAAGGAAAATGCAGTATTATTGAAAGAAAAACTGAGCATGTAAAGGCATTTGTATATTGTAAATTACTAAGAAGTAATCAAAGCATTTCAGCTTAAGACATAAGACTGTTAACAATGGTGACACAGTGTTTCCTTGCCCATTACATGACTGTCATGTTAGAGTGACTGTATATTTATGAAATGTTCACACTTTGAACTTGCAAAGGAGTTGGCTGGGACAAATATTTATGCCCTGTGCTTTTCAGATTCCACTGAGAAATCACATTCAAGTGTAGAAAAATACTTCCACTGTATTAATATATAAACGTAAGTTACCATTTTAAACAACATAGTTAAAGTCCACTGTAACAAATAATAGAGAAAATGCAGGATGCAAGGGTGTGTGTCTGATATCAGGTAAAAAGACAGGAAAGCTGCCTTTCTGACAGGCCATATTGCCCTGTGCAAAGTGTCTCCATTTTCTTGCTGTGATAATAAGTTTTTGTACTCTTATTAAAGACAGCAAGAATGTAAAAGCCTTGTCTACCAGATGAGAATAAATTCTAACAATCCCTTGTCCTATATACTGTTTCTGAAGCCTAAGGCAGAAAATTTCCAGGATGCTATCCTACGGGAAAATGCATTCAGGGTCTAAATTTCAGGACTGTCTCATGCAATCTCGGAGGACTGGTCAACCTAATGTAAGCTGCTGAGAAATGGGGCTTCTAGTGTTTTATAAATGTTCAATGTCGTTAAAAGTTAAACTTCTGTTAGGAGGACTTTCTGGAACTCTTTGGTTGTATTTTTTCTAAATTCAGAAACTTTCTTTCTGACAGTTATAGTCTCTAAATCTGTGTGTAAAGAAAAAAAAAAAAGAAGAAATCCTGTTACTGAATATTTCAGGTTCATAAAAAAGCACAATATTGTTTTCAGAAACCTCCAGAAGAAAAGAGACATTTGTAAAGGAATATCACACTTAAAAGAAGCTTTTGCATTAAGGCAGTAACAAAGCAGTCCTGAATCATAATAGGAAAAGCACTTATAAAAATGTTCCAAATGGTTATGACAAATTTTATTCATAAGCACTCTGGACAGGGCTATAGTTTGCAGCTCCCACTGGGTACGTATTTCAGAATGAAGAAGAGTTGGATGAGATTAATGACCAAAGTAGTCTCCTCTTAGGATAAAGTATGCAAACAAATGTTGTTCTCATTACTCTTATCAGTGGCTTAACCATTTGCAGCAGGTAAGCATTCAGTGGTGATGTTTATACCGTGTTCATAACCTTGCTAAATTTAAAATTCCCCAAGGATCAGTGTTGGGGCCAGCTCTGTTTAATATCTTTATCAATGATCCGGAGGAGGGGACTGAGTGCACCTTCACTAAGTTTGCAGATGACACCAAGTTGGGCAGCAGTGTTCATCTGCTTGAGGGTAGGAAAGCTCTGCAGAGGGACCTGGACAGGCTGGATCAATGGGCTGAGGCCAACTGTATGAAGTTCAGTAAGGCGAAGTACTGGGTCCTGCACCTGGGTCACAACAACCCCATGCGATGCTACAGGCTTGGGGAGGAGTGGCTGGAAAGCTGCCTGGCAGAAAAGGACCTGGGGGTATTGGTCAAAAGCCGGCTGAACATGAGCCAGCAGTGTGCTCAGGTGGCCAAGAAGGCCAACAGCATCCTGGCCTGTAACAGCAATAGTGTGGCCAGCAGGACTAGGGAAGTGATTCTCCCCCTGTACTCGGCACTGGTGAGGTCGCACCTCGAGTCCTGGGTTCAGTTTTGGGCCCCTCACGACAGGAAAAACACTGAGGCACTGGAGCATGTCCAGAGAAGGGCAACGAAGCTGGTGAAGGGGCTGGAGAACAAGTCCTAGAAGGAGCATCTGAGGGAACTGGGATTGTTTAGGAGGGAGAAAAGGAGGCTGAGGGGAGACCTTATCGCTCTCTACAACTACCTGAAAGAAGGTTGTAGAGAGATGGGAGTTGGTGTCTCTTCTCTCAGGTAAAAAGCAATAGAACAAGAGGAAATGACTTCAAGTTGTACCAGGGGAGGTTTAGACTGGCTATCAGAAAGGGCAGTCAAGCACTGGAACAGGCTGCCCAGGGGGGGGGGGGAGTCACCTTCCCTGATGTTATTTAAAAGATGGGAGGACGCGGGGCTTCGGGACATGGTTTAGAGGTGGAATTGGTAGAGTTACGTTTATGGTTGAACACAATGATCTTAAAGGTCTTTTCCAACCACTATGATTCTACGATTCTAAAATAGCATTAAAAATTTACTGTGCTTTATATGAGTAAGATCTTGAAGGAAGGCTTGTACTTCTCTGCTTTTATTGTTGTGCAGAGAGAGTGGGTGAAAAATGGATGCAGTGATCCCTGTGATCCATGTGAAATTCTTTTGGGATGCAAGGTGCTATATAAATATTTAGACTTACAATACAGTATTACTATAATTAATATTAGAGGGGGCTAATGAGGCATAGAATATATAAGGTCTCCTTAAGCCCTTGAAGAACAACAGAACATAAATGAAGGTGGTGAGATACCAGATTGGTTAAGCTCAGTTGAAGGAAATACTACAAAAGATGGGGGTTTGTTGTTGTTGTTTGCTATTTTAAAAGAATATGGTCTGAATTCTCAATCTGAGTCTTAGAACAGATATGAAAAATTACCTCTGTTTTGCAAGCCTAGTTATATATAATCTCCTACAGAGATAAGCCATTAAAAATAATAAAACTCTCTTAAAAATTAGGAAAAACAAATTAACACAGTTACCAATAAAGAAGAGTGGCCATGGCTAGAGAGAAGAGGTTATGTTTGTGCTGTGTGGTTTTAAGGGGGAGATGAAAAAGCAGCATCATTCTTGTCACAGCATGAGTGCTATTCCCTGCTGTGCCATCTCATAGTTTGAGATTACACTTTTATAACTTCAGAACTGCTATTGATTCTTTTTTCCTTCTTTCCAACCTACTGGTAAATTCAGTAGCTTTTAAAATTACAGCTTTAATGGTTGCTCTGGAATTGTTCTGCTCTGGCATTTACTTTTTCATCATATTCTGGGATGATGGAGGATACTAATATTTTTCCATAGAGTTTTTTGAATTTTGCATGAATCAGCAATCTTTTCTTCCTTAGAATAACCTTCAAGAAAATTGAATTTTCAAAATTACAGTTGAAAAGGAAAGCTTTGCTTCTACTTCTTAGAGATATTTTTCCAAAGAGAGGCAAAATGAGTTCATTACAAAAGTATTTGCATGTTTTTTTCACATGAGCATATACATGTCTGTATGTACATATTCATGTATGTATGTATGTGTGTTTATACAGAGAAAGAGACCTACCTATGTAGTGCAGAGAAAGTTTGTCAAATTAAAGATGGTAATCTTTTCTTATAAGAGAGGATTTGTTTTGATTTCTTAACATCATTTTGCATTTTATGTCATAGTTTCTAAGACATACATTTTACCGGATATAGAAATAAACTATATGTCTCTTTCCAAAATATTTGAAAGTAATTAAAATAATGTTTTTCATACTAATTAGAAAAAAAAAAGTCCAGTGGGAATTTATTTTTTTCCCCCCAATTGTTTGTTGGATAAAATCTGGCCTTTTCTGAGCAGATCTTTTCATATATCCCCCAGCAACACTATGTTTTAGTAGACAGAGATTATTTAAAGACATGGATATAGCAAGCTGGAAACCTACCTGGATCTACAATTAAGGAGTAACAATGTGTTATATATCAAATAATTCTACTCTGTATATTATGTACCATAAGAAAGTAATAATCCTTAAAAGTGCTTACAAGTAAGACTACTGTAAAACATGACATTTTACTATTGATAGGATACATACAGTCCATGTTATTTTACAATACTGCACTCTTAATCTGCTTCTAACCAGTAAATATGCCTAGGGAATCTCATTTTGACTGTGTTTTTATGAAACAAACTGCCAAATACTAACTAGTGTTTCAAATGGTTGAAATCTTATACTTACCTGCAAACTTGATGTGGAATTTATTCTCAGGTTTCAGTATTTGGACATACAAAGGACAATTTGGAGCAAAGTCTTTAACTGCCCATGCTCTTAAAATGGTTTGATGATCCTAGAAAAAAGAGTATGAGGTGATGACTGTGAAATACAAATAACTGTGTTACATTAGAAAAATAGTTTCCTGTCAGACTGACTTAATTGGAGAAAATTCATTTTAAGACTATGTAACACCAGCTTGTGTGCATGTTTACATACATGTTATATATGTAATATTATGCGTTATGCATATTACATATACTTAAATACATAAATATACACAGATACATAGGAGCAAAGCAAGTAGATAGAGGACAGTGATTGTCCCCCTCTACTCAGCACAAGTTAGACTGAATCTGGACACTGCATCCAGTTTGAAGGCCCTCAACACAGCAAAGACATATGAGCTGGACTGAGTTCAGCAGAGGGCCACCAAGATGGTCAGGGGCAGAAGCAGAGGCCCTGTGAGGAGAGGTTGATGGAATGGAGCTTGTTCAGCCTGCAGAAGAAATGGTTTCGGGGGGACCTAACAGCAACCCTCAGTATGTACAGGATGGTTATTGAGCAGATGGAGCCAGGCTCTGCACAGTGATGCATGGTTGGAAGACAAGAGGCAACGGAGGTAAGTTCAAGAGAGATTCAGGCTGGATATAAGGAGAAACCTTTTCCCCATGAAGATGGTTAGGCAGTGGAACAGGTTGTGCAGAAGAGCTATGCTGTCTCCACCCTTGGACACTTTCACACCAACCTAGATAAAGCCCTGAGCAGCCTGGTCTGTGTTTATAACTGACTGCTGTCAGACTAGAGACCTCCTGAGCTTCCTTCCAACCTCCATTATCCTGTGATCCTACTGTAATATATTCTCTTTATTGGAATGCAGAATAGAGGGTTTGTTTCCAAAAATCTTTTACTAATAAGGTATTTTGTCCCTCCTATCTTTCTGCAGCTGTTGGGGACCATATAGTTTGGAAGGAGTGGCATTTGTACGTGGAAGAATTGTGTGAAAACTTAAATGGTAGTTATGAGTCATGTCTAATTAATCAAGAATGTTGTATTAGGTATGTCCTTCTAAAAAGATTCAGGATTTAAATAACTTTAAATGAGGACATGAGCAATTAAGAATTTAAAATTGTGGATAATTCTAAAAAATATCAGCCCAATTAAAAACAGATCTAAATTTTTGTGCAACCAAAACACTTGCATAACTGACATCAGAATTTAGCCAGTTACTGACCAAAGGATTCTGGGGGATTTCCCAGCCTGTTAATTTTTGTACTTATTGCCATATGTCAAGAGTGAGTTAACCACAGGATGAATACAACTAGCTCATAAAAGTAAAGTATGTGATAATAAATTAATATATTGAATTTAATGAAATATGACTAATTTCAGTGTATCAGCCCTCAGTTTTTATTTTGAAATGAACTAAAAAGGAATATTTGAGAGCTGCATGTAGGAAGCAATACTTGGGTTGAAATGCCTTGTCTAGTCATGAGATTGGTGGTATTAAAAGATGAAATATAAAGAATGATTCACTATGTTTGCAGCATCAGCAATGAGAAAATCCTTCCGTCTCATGAACACAAGGGAAAATCTCTGCCTGGAACAGAGCGTAATTGACATTTTCAAACTGTAATATTTTAATGTCAATTGAGATGTTAGCAAGTATCTTTTCTACTAGAAATACTAGAATGGAGTCATAAGAGGAAGACCTTTGGGGGATTGTAAAATACAATTTCACATTTTTCTTATTAAGAGTTTCACAGATGTAGGATTGCTCTGCACATTTAGATTTCAGAACTTGGATGTACCCTGCTATAAGCTTTCCTTCTATGCAGTCACTTTTTCTTTGCTTTTTCTATAGCATATGGCAACTTATCCTCCTTAGAGGTTTTTTTTGTATTTGGAGTTTTTTGCTGTTTTATCTTGAGGGAACTCAATGCCAACACACCTTAGAAGTAGGAAATGGTTGGGTAATGGGATAGATGGTGGTCATACAGATACAGTACAGGGGAAGTAAGAGGTTTGGGAATGGATTTGGGACAGATTTGAAAAACCTATGTATTGTTAAAAATAAGAGTACTTACTAAAATTATTCAAACGACACCATTTTTTTTTTTAAAAAGAAGTGAGTATTGTAAAACTAAAAGTATAAATCTCAATATAAAATATTTTTAGATAATTGTATAGGAAAGGGAAAGACTTTAAAATTAAAATCTCTTGGTGATTATTTGGCACATCTGCAGTTTTAACACTGCAAAATTCGTCTTGCTTTCACTTTGCTAACTCTTTTTTGAAAGAGCAGTCTACAAATACTTAATATATATAAAATGAATCCTTAAATGTCCTTTATAGCTTCATAAGATCAACTGAGTGTGTATGTATTGTTAATATAATAACCTTGCAATATTGTTTCATTTTCTCTTTTTTCACTTTGTATATACTTGTGTTTGCGTACTAAAGCTGGTTATTCGGGTTTTCATGGGTTTTTTGCTCAGTTACTCTCTCAAATTCCACTATGGAGAAGCACTACAGGGGATAGAAATGAAAATACACTTTGATTTCTTAGATTCAGGCTCTTCATATAGTATTGGTGGTTCTCTGTTTTACATATGTAGTGGTTTCTATACTATATTGCAATGACTTTAAAAAATGTTGACTTTTCTCCCAAGTAAAAAGGAGGTATAAATGTACATGCTATAAACAGATAACTGAAACAAAATTATGCTTCTGATCACATTATAAAATATATGCTTCCTTGGGAGATGAAGGAAAAAATACATTCTCTTCTGTGTGCCTTCCATGCAATGAATTGCAGTCAGTGATCAAAAATTACCAGAGATACCAATGGTGATATTTAAGTTCCATGTATCAAAAGCTGTAAGTTTCAAAGTGGGTATAACAGGAATTTAATAATCAGAACTCAAAGCAATACCTTGACTTAATATATATTTTAAAATAGTTTTGTTGCTTTATTTTTTTCTTGCCACACTCAACTTGATATTTTTATCTTCCTGTGCAAAGCATCCATCTTGTGATGTTATTAATGCAGTGTAATTTAGATTACCAGTATAGTAGTGTCATGCAATTTGATTAACAGAAGGAGAAAAAAAAGGCTCAAGCTTGAACACCACTATCTCTGAATTTTCAGAAAGCATCAGAACAAAGCTGTCACCAGTAGAAGTGATCTTTCATATATTTATATAGCCTATTAATGAGTTATCTATAGGATAATTCAAAAGAGACTTCTCACCTCTCCTTGTGTTAAAAGAGCAGATGCACTGTTTTCAGGCACCTCGTGGAGCGATTAGATGTAGGCAGCCCACTGTAGTTACTGGCTAACTTCACCACGTGGCACAGACTGTTTTACACCCACCAATAATAATAAAAAAAAATTCTAATCCAGACTTAAGTACAGTTTGAAGTCTCTTTAAGAGCTGCACCCTCCAGAAGTGAAAAGGATTTCTGTCCTGCTTGCTATAGCAGTTAGGCAGCTTACATCTTGATCTGAGATGTCAAAATAACATTTGATAGAATAAATTTTGGCAGAGCTTTGTCTTGCCAGAGACAGAAAGTTGCTGGTATGAGACTCTGGATGCTGATAAAGTCTTGGTTTGACTGCTGAAGTTCCTACTCCTTCAAGTGAAAAAGGAACCAACTGACAATTTTAATGAAGTAACTGCATATCACCTGTTATTGTACTTTTCTTCTGAGCTATAGTGGAGATCCATGGATCAGAAACAACACAGACTTTGGCACTAAAACTTACTAACTAATGAAACAGCAAACAATGAACAGCCAGTGGTATCCATGGCAAATGAGTAGATGCTCTGCTGAGGATTGTGGCTGGGGAGATGAAAACTCTCATGGACTTTGAAAAATCACATGAGTAACAACAGCTGTTCTGGTCAGAATCTTCTCAATGCATCTGTTAGCCTTTATTTTGACAGCCATCAGACATAGGAGAGGGTCCAAGACACTCCTAACAGTCTGTCAGCTTCTCAGGCACAGCAGAGCAAAAAATCAGTTGTAGTTATAAAGATTGATACTGGGATGACAACTGAACTTCCTTCAGCCCAGTGACAAACTGTAACCCTATGTACTACACTACTGAAGTTCTTAGTAGTGACTAGAGCAGCAACAGTGTAGGAAATTAAATCGATTTCATTTCAGAGCTCTAGGGGGCAGTCAAATAAAATAATAATAATAATAAAGACAATATCTGTCCATTTGTACTTGCAGTACAAGTAATTGCATTCCCTGTGAAAAGGAAATCTGAGCAACAACAGGAAAAACAGAGAGAGAGAGGTGACATCTTGTTTAAATGAGGTGATACTGACCCTCAGATTATCGCTGCTACAGCTGAGATGCTGCGCGATTATGACTAGGCAGTCTGCCACCCAACCGGGCATTCTGTCTTTACCTTTGAATAAACTATTTCTTACAGCATGCTGATAGTCTACAAAAAATATTTTTTATATAACTTGGTTCTAGGGGCTCAGTTCCCTAGCAAGGAAATAATCCTTTTTTCTTGCTAGCTGCAGCTTGTGTTGCTTTTTTCGTTCTTCCTTCTCGGATAAACCATATGTGTAGGTATGGAACTAACTAAGTTTTTGATGGCAGATGAAGTACTTGTAACAAGTGATAGGGAATATATTAAGAAATACTATATACATAATGCAAAGCCCTCATTTCCCACTCCTGTTTTACTATGTTTTCAATATTTAGAAAAATAATTGCCATTTCTTATAATATAGCAGCAAACCAGTATTTTTTAATTGAGATAGCTTAAAACATAATTACCGATTTATAAACACTAGTTTGATCTTGTTAGGCAATTTGTAAGCATCTTAATTTAACTTTGTGAATATTGCAACTTATTCTGATCTTCCTTTGGAATTCAAGATCGAAATGAACAGAAGCAAGTGTTCAATATATTAGCATGCAGCTCATGGTGAAAAAATTAAAGTTGAGTTCATAAATCCTTCCTCAGTGGACTTTTTTCCTGGACATTTGTGATCAGTAGGTAATTTCATTAGTTTGAAGATTTCTAGTTCATATTAAAATAGTTTTATTCTTTTATCACAGATACGCTGAGCAGAGGCTTTTATTAGCAGTCTTCCTTTGTGGACACTAACTGACCTGACTGCAAATAACTAGTAGCGTGGGCAAAACAATAGTAACTTATTTAAAGAATTTTGCCATTTTTCACATTTAAAATTGGACAATATGAAAAATGGTCACATAGTTTCAGATATATTAGTTATTTGGTAGTAGTCACAAATTAATTTATTAAGTTGAATTAAATCTTTACTTTTAGTAGTGAACTTTCAATATTTCAATAGTTCTGAATGGAAATACCAGTCAGTTGATAAATATCCTATTTCTGATTTAGTAAGTATAACTCTTTGAATTGGTTATCTAGAGCTAACACTGACATTAGTCCAGGTAATTTGAATAAAACTTTTTTGACAGTTGTCTACACTTTGGAGTGATTAATGACCAAGTATCAAGATATCTTTAAGGTACCATGACAATGCTTAAATGGTATTCTGGCATCGTTCCATTAAAAAGGAGAGAAGTCATAAAAATTTACTTTATTCAGCATTATTTTTTTTTTTTTTCAAATACTGTATTCATACAGTACTTTTATTTTATTTTTTTTTAAAGTCCTGTAAGGATGTATAAATTCTTACCTTTTTTTTTTTTAAAAAAAGGTTCAACCTATAACTAAAATGTGCTGTAAAATCCTAACTTCTTTTGTAGGGTAGGTCATATAATTTATTTTCTAAAGAAGCAGAAGTAGGTATGTTATGTAAAATGAGCCATTATATGATGTTTCATAAATGTTTTAAATCCTGGCCTTATAGAATTGAATAAAAACCTTTTCGTTATCTTAACTGAGACAAGAAGTTCATCCCACATGCAAAATCTCTATGTAAATAATCTAATTTTAATCTTCTGTTCACAGAAGTCTCAGTCCCTGAGAAGGAATAAGGGCAGTAACAATATGAAGAGCATACACATTCATTCTTATTGATTTCTTCAAAACTTACAGCTGCTGTCCTGTCCACCTCACAGCGGCTACTCAGAATGAAACAAGCTTCGGCATCATCCATTCTAGGAGAGAGGAGACAAGACTGTTACCAACAAAATACTTCCGTGGACTTGTGTTTCACCGTTAATAGACTTGTATGCTTATAGAAACAGAATACAGGGAAAGTTTAGTCTCTGTTCTCATGCATTAGCTGAGTGTCAGCAGCAGTCACCTTGTGCACTAACTCACGGTGTACCAGCACTTCCTGACTAGGTTCTGGGAAACTTTCTTTCCCTGGTGCTGGTAGAAGCTGTGCCAAAGTAATAAAAACAGGGTGGCCTCAAACACACTTAATTTCCAAAATAAATGTATATCTGCCATGAGTATAAAAGGTGAATAAATAGCACCAGTCCACATAGTGTGTAAGGGTATGATATGTACAAGTTATTATTGAGAAGAGTGAATGAGAGGGGGCAGATAGTTTAATGTAGACTTGTTTTGCCTAGTGATAGCAGAAAGATGGGTAGATGTAGTAGAATAATGCATTAGGGATAAGTAGCAAACATTTCTGTGTATGTAAGCATTAAATGAATTAACTATTTTCAGTTCATGTTCTCTTTGAGAACTTTAATGCTTAATTGTTCTCTAGTGGGTACAACTGGTCATGTAATAAAGAGTGGTGGTGGAAGTGCAGAGAAAAACTGTCTGACTGAAGATTTCATCAAAGTTTGCTTTTCCTCCCTTGCCTCAGATCATGATAGCCTTCTCTAGTGAAACCTGCTTCACTTACTGGTACATGGAAGTAAAGAAATAGGGACTTGGTTAACCTCCTTGGGAAGACAGGACTCTCTGGGCAAACAGAAACAGGATGATCAGTCTGGGTTTCTTGGGAAGGGGAAAAGTGAGACAGAAGCTGGGGAAAATGAAGAGGCAATTCACTACTCATTACAGCAGCTCCATTCTGGAGTCTGGAATGGGACTTGAGATTTATAAATTTTTGGTTTCTCTGCTGCTAGAAAATGGAATTGGTGGTTGTTAGTAACAGTTTATGCCATTGGGACCCTAGGCTTAGACTGAGAGCCCATTCCTTTAGGTACTGTACAAACACAGAACAAAAAGACAGTCCTTGCCATATTAGCTGTAATTAACATGACAAAGGACAACAAAAGTATATGCAAACATGGGAAACAGGAAGAAATGGTGTGACAATACCTGAATATAAAAATTATCATGGTAGAAAGTGGTCTCTGGATATGAAAGGAAAGATCTGACTGAAAAGAGGATGCAGTGGAGAATACTGGGACTATTTTACAGACATTTCTGAGAAATTCATCCTAGATTGAAGGGACAGCATGAATGAAATCACAATGGGATTTGTATGTTAATCTGTTGTATGTGTGAAAGAGAACAGCACTATAGACTCATCAGAAGGTTAACTCAGTAAGAACTGGGAGTTGCAGGCTAAGTGAGAATAAGGGGTCACTCCTTGATGCAATAAAGAAGGGTAAGCCAGGGAAGGACTGCAATGAGGCAAAGTGATGCTCTACATAAATAAAATTTCCAGAGTGTGCTGAAACAAAGGTTCAGGGAGTTGAGATTATACATGTTAAGGACACAAATATAGTTTCAAGTGGGGCAAAAATGAGAGCTTGTGTGAGAAAACACTTGTAAGACACAGGCTTAGTCTATATAGGAAGCTCTACAATGATTCCAAGCTTATAATCCACAGTAGGATACTGGTTTTATTTTGGTAGCAAAAATTCACATCTATTTACAACTGTCTGCAACTAAACTAAAGTTGATGAATAGCTATCCATAATGTGATGTCACATAGCTTGGCAAACCTTTTGGTTTTTGACTACAGAAATAGTGATTAAATTTCTGTGTTTTGTGTGAGATCATTCAGAGAAAGTATAAAGAAAAGAGAAGGATAAAGTCAGGTCATTGTAGATTTCCCATAGGTACCTAGCAGCAGGAAAACAGGGAAACCTCAAAAGATTAAAGTACTTGAAATGAAAAAAATCATTGTAGCAAAGACAAATTAATATATCCAAAATGGTAATGTCAAATGCAGCTGATGTGGAGGAGTGAGGACAGGAGGCCGCTCCTGAGTGCTGATTAGGGAGAAATCATGGGAGTCGTATGAGTTGTTTCAGCTAAGCATGGGAGCAGAATTGGGAAGATAAGGTCTTTAACAAAGTTGTAGGAAAGAAAATTCAGTGAAATTAGGTGAGATTTTGGTGAGAGCTGATGAGGTAACCGGGATTGACAGTATATATAGATGATTTCATAAGGAAATGAAACCTCATGTCAACATATTCACCTTTTTCCCCCGATGTTTTTTGTAATTTCTCGAATCACTTCAGAGACAGATGACAAGGATAATAACCTGAGATTAGCACCTATGAATGTCATTAATTCAGACAACAGAAACACTAACAACACCTATGTTAAAAACATTTATTAGAACCCAGAGTACCCTTATGAGAAAAATGTTATTAATGTCCTAACAAGTGAAAAAGCTTTGTCAATTACTCCATTTTTATGTGCCAGAAAACTGAACCTGAGACCGAAAAAACCCAATAGTTCTACTGCTTGAGGATGGCAGAAATTAAAGGGACTTTATATATTGAAGAAAAATTTAGGAAAGGAAAAGTAAAAGGTAAAGAAAACAAGTGAACGTGAAGAGGATTAAGATTTGTGATGGTTCACTAAAGAAAGTGGAAGGAGAGAGAAAAAAATATTTGAGGTGATGACAGAACATGGGAGAAAGCTATGGGGGTAAAAAAAATCAAACGTGGTTGTGTTATTCACTTTCTAGTGCTAGTCTGCATGGAGAACGAGAGCTGTTTTAATCAGTTGCTGTGTTGCTTCAACTGCTGAAGTAGCTCTAAAGTCATGCTCATGAACAGTGTACCAGTGTGATACCTCATGACGGAATTCTTTCTCTTTTTTTGTTAAAGCTGGGCACAGGAACACTGTCCAGAAAACACCAAAGATTTGCAAAGTGAAGCTCTCAAAGGTAGGAAGCAAGAACAGATATATTTTTTGTAAAGTCAGATTGTGTACTAGGGCATATAAAGAAAAATACAGTCTTTAGTTAACTGGCTATTTACTACTTATGCAATCAGTCAATTTTTTGTATTCCTTTATTTTTTGGTGCGACCTTTATCATGTTATTTTGACATTGAATTTCATGTATACTGTATTTATTAGAAGAAGTTTTCCATGAGCCTTTTTATCTTCCCAGTACATTATCTTCTCATTAAAAAGAAATACAGCAAACGTCTTAGGTACTAGGTTATATTTCATATTAAATGTTCTATTAGATTCCCACTATGCTGCTTCCCTCAGGAGAGGCTGAAAATTATTCTATGACAGGTACATTCAATTACATGTTCTGTAGGAAAAAGCACAATTCCACAGTTGACTACCTCCAGGTTATTATAAGCGAAATTCAAGATTATCTTTAGGGAACATCCTAATTTTTCTTCTCCTAATATGTAGAACAAATGCCAGCTAAATCCTTACATGAGTTCCTTCTTGAAGTCAGCAAGAAGGCAAAAAAAGGTAGCTCCCTCTAAAAGAAAATTGCTAATCCTGAAAAAAAAAGCTTTATTGTATCTTCAAATTTTAAACAGGTATAGAAGTAGTTGGTTTTTGAGTGGCAGAAATCTGAGAAGATAACAGTGCTCACTAGACTTCTCACAGATTAGATTCTTGGAAATAACTCCCCTGGGGTAAAGAAGGCCTAATGACACAAGTACTCAGACAGGTATTGGCTTAATTTTAGATATCTGTATTAGTTGCTGAATAAGTTCTTATAAAGAGCAATGCAGGTAAGTTAAATCAGTTACTTGCTAAGAATCACCTTTCTCTTCAGAGCGTATAAAGAGATGATCCTCCTACATGAATTCCACTGTGAATTCCTTCACACCTTCAAATGATTGAACAATAGTGGGGGGGAGTTGAGGAACTGTGTTTGACTGATGTGTTTTGATTAATGTCATTGAGTATTAACTGTCAGAGAGGATTTTTTAGAAATGGTGGAAGTATGTGGTAAGAGGAGGCCCCGAAAGAAGAGTATACAGAGTATAGTAGAGTAGTTGCTCACACTACCAGGCTGAACATGGAAACCAAACAGAACTCTGCAATGGGTTCAAAGGGTGGTAATTATTTTTGTTTACTTTTCCCCCTTCAGTTGATCAGGAGAACTACCATTACATTTACTACCTTTGCTCAAGGAACAGAAACCAATTATAGTATCACTGGCAGTTTTGGAATTTTCTGTGCTGCTTTTTCAGAGGAAATCATAGGCACTCTGTTTCAATACTTTTAAAAACTGAGAGAAAAGACTGAGGAAAAACTGGGTCACATGAAAGAGCTTACGAATATTTATACCTTGAAAAATTTCAGATATTAAGAAAAATATATCAAAGAGCCTTGCTTTCTAAATACACATGCTTTCCTTTTAGCACAGTTTTTGTTGTTTGTCAAACTTATTTATCAAACAGTATGACTGAAACAAAAGTAAAAAACAATATTGGTCAATATTTGCCTACTTAGCTCTCAACAGGTCTTGATCTTTTAGTGCTGAGCCTTGCAGATAGATAACTCTTTGGGACCACATTGGGATTTGTAACACCCTTCGGACCTGAGCATCCATCTCAGTAGGACACAAAATAACGACATAATAGTCCTGTCAAAAACATAAGGGGGAATAGTCATGTCATTTTTTTATGTTACCATTTATTGTTGCTAGAGAATGAGTCAAAAGAGACTCAGAATGTCAAGAATGTCTCTGATAATTCTCAAATTTCATTGACAAAAGTTATTTGAATACATGTGTTTAAAATATTGAATTATTCAATAAAAATGGCTGGACAGTTGTCAACTGCTCACCAAAGACTCCAGGGTGGCAACTAAAGTCCATTTAGAAACATTTTTGTTTCCATATGAGCATGATTTTTTTTTTTAGAGACAATTTACATTTCTGTCATTTTAGCTGGAAAATGTAGGAAGTTTTCAAGAATCAAAATGGAATTGTCTTCCCCCAAAATTCTTCATCTACGTTAATGGGCAGATCCAAACTCTTTCCTGTGCTACAAACACTCCTAGTTAGGAAATGTAAAGTTGCTCTGAAGTATTTGTGTGTACATATGAAAAGGAGAGATAAATGGAATGTGAGAGACTGAGATCTTAGGACAGGCTTGTCATAAAGTTTTCATTAGCATACACAGACTTTTGCAGAAAGCTTAGTGCATTGGATCCAGTACATCATCTTTATCCTCCAGCTTCCCATTTCAACTATGAAGGGAGTGTATATAAGCTCTTCTAGGCTACATAAGTAGTATTCTTTGTCTCCAGTGTATCACAGAGCCTGACTCATTCTTCAGGCTAGTTAACTATATTTTGGATTTGTGTGTGCACCTACAAAGAACTGGATTTCTTTGTGCATTTGCTTATGCTTCTTACCAGCTAATTATTTTGGGGAATATTTTGGATTTGGGATTTGTCAAATTGCTGCTTAGCAATTTGATGATTGTATTTTTGTGGGTTTTTTTGCACTAGTTAATGAAGCATGGTGCCACAGGTAACTTGGTAAAAAGCATAGAGAAGATTTAGTAGAAGAAATGGTCTGTAGCAAAGCTAATAATAATGAATCCAAATTGTTATCTCATATAAGCTTTTATATGATCAAAACAAGTCATATGGCATCTTTTTGCATTAGCTAGGGAATATGTGTACACTAAGAAAATATCATATGTATAATCTTTAAAGGTCTTTGGCCTTTAAAGTGTATCTATTTATTTCTTAATTTCAACAATTTCAAAAGGATGTAATCTTCCTGACACTGGCAAAAAAAACAAAGCAAAATGTGAAAACCAAAAGATGCTTTGACTTGTGAGGAGTTTTGGATCCAGTCCCAAAATAACACGAAAAAACTATTGGAGTAGTTTTTTTGTTGTTGTTTTTGGTTTTGGGTTTTTTTTGGGGGGTGGGGGTGTGGGTAGAAAGTAGGGAATTTGCATAGAAATATCTGTTTCTAAAAGGACTGGCATAATTCAACAAGACAGCAATTCTATCTATTTATTCTATTTACCTCAATTTAAAATTAATGTCTCCATACTGTATCTCAGCTTATTGCATTTATAGATTCCATATTCAGTCAGTTATTCCCAAATTTAGTTTCACAAATTAGAGACCATTTCAGAAGGCTGTCTGCAAAAAATCAGTGTTTTGAGTTTCTTTTTATTTTTTTTTCCTTTTACTGTAAGTACCTGCAATCTGGGGTGAGCATAGAATTCATTTAAGAAATCCATAAGTAAGTCAATCTTCAGAGAGCTAACACATAGCACAACATGTTTTTCCGTCTGAGCTCTGTGTCGACTGTAGTTACCACCAGACTTTTGTCTCTCCATCCACAAATATGCCAGCTGTTCAAACTGCAAGAGATGCCAATTGTCAGTGAAAGAGACAGAGATGTGCAGTACAACTGTATCATGACTTAACAATGTTGCATCATTGATGTCATGCCTATATGAAAAGATGCCCTTAGCCCATACTGGTTTTTTTCTTTGTAAAAAATTTTCTAGTAAGTGGGTGAGATGAATAATAGGGTGATTGAAAAATATGGTAGTAGAGCCAGTCTCTACTGCACACAAATAACAGGGTAAATCCATTAAATATCTTGAGGTTACAGCAAATCTCAAGATTTTAGAAAAGAATAAAGGCTCTATCCTATTTCCTTTATGTATTTTATACCTCTGAGCTCTCTTTTTCCAGTGCCATGTGACACAAAAGTTTCCCTCAAATGAAAGGTTAAATTTTCACACACTTAAGTGTATACTGTGAGTATAGATTCTCAGATAGAAGCACCATTTTACTTAATTTGTACAATAACTCTTCTAATATATTTTATAAAGTTCTGAAGGTGACCTTCTGTATACTCATCTGTCTTATAAATGTAGATACAGCTTAAATACACAGCAGCTGTTAATACAGTCAATTTGTCTTTGTCAGCTGAACAATATATGCCAGCTAACAGTAAACACTGCTCTACTAGTCTAAATCCTTTAGCCTAAAGAGACTACTGTAACAATCAGTGCCATTGTAACAATCTGCAAGAAAACACAAACACCATTTCAAAGCTCCTTCTAAGTAACATGCATTTAATACTGAGCTCAATTAAACGATGTATTTGTGTGATAGCTGCTCTTTCTCATCCACATTCAACTGATGGAGAGACTGAATTGTTAATAATAACTGATTTAGTATCATAGCAGGACAAAAGCTTATGAGATGATGCCTCCCATATTCTATGTATGGAAAATTATATGAAGCCCCATTATCCCTACAAAGCTATAAATCAAAGTAGCTAATAATAGATAAATTTCTGTGAAAGGGCAGTAGATTTCATGTTATTTACTGGTAATGTAGAGCTCTTATGCCTGAAGTGTTATTAGAACTACCTGAAAGATGAAATTTCTATTTCCTAGGAAATTCCAAGTTTCTTAAAGCGTATTTTAGTTTTCAATAGAATATATATTTTACTAAATTTCCACTTAGTGGGAATATAATTGTGTTAGTGCATATGTCTGTCTATGCAGACATTAAATATTAAGTATAATTGAAATGTTCAAATAATTTCAAGAAAAATAATGCTGAAAGCTTGAGCTTCCAGCCTTCCAGGGTTTGTGCTGTTTGCTCACAGTGAGACTGTCAAACAGAGTCTGGATTCTCTGGCTGTGTGAGAAACTTTGGAGCTTCATGGTGTAGCAGGTCTACTATAAGCTTTGATAAGCATGCACAACGTCTCCCCACATCCCCTTTTTGTGGTAAAAGGTCTGGGTGATCATCAAGTGTGGAATAGTTAACATCTTGGCAAGGTTTCCTATGTAATCTCAGGGCTTCTGTCATCAAGCCTCACCTAATGAGCTGGGGAATGTTTGGTACAAATTTAATGAAACTGATTGACTCCTTGAAATACTTAAATTTTCATAAATCATCCTTTTCCTGTTGAAACTGTTAGAAGTCCTAAACTTAAGTAGGCACCAAAAATTCCTAACTGTGCTGTTGGCTCTGTGTGTGTATGTATCGACATACATGTACATGGCTGTGAACCCAATTTGCTTCAGTTGCAGATTTAATGAGGTTATTTTTCAAGTTAGCACTGAGCTGTAAGAGTGAGAGAGGAATTGAAGACAACTGAGATTAGAAACAGGGAGAGTCTGCAGAGGAAATGCTATACTCATAAAGAAAGTGCTGGCTACTGGTTTTTGTTTTGTTTTGTCTTTTTTTAATTGTTCCATTGATAACAAACCCCTATCTCAGGATGAAGGAAGGGATCTGTGGCACATGACACAAACAAAAAGCTTTCACCAGCACTTGAAAACTGTTATTAGTGCTCTGTTTTTCAGTATAAATCTAGACAATAGGAGAACAGAGAAAGGAATAAGAAAGAAAAAAACCCAAACATAACAGGAGGTAGAGAAGATTATTATTTTTTCTGACATTTGTATGCAATAATAATAGTAACAATAAATTATTTCAGTTATTATTCTTTTTGTTTTAAAAACAATTCTAAAGAGAAGAAAAATCCACATTTACCTGTATGGGCAACACCACAAGAGCAACACAGATCATAATGACAACAAGCAGCTTTGAAGGCCATATCTTGGGTGTAACATCCCCAAAGCCCACAGTGGAAAATGTCACTATGCAGAAATAAAGGGAGTCAAAGAGAGTCAACCTGTTTCCTGCTCGTTCCAGATGCTGAATTCCACAAATACTATGTAGAAAAGAATGAATAAAGACACGAAAAATAAAAACTGTACTTAGGGTCAGCTCAAGTTTGATGATTATATGTGCAGAGCACTATTTCTTTTCAGAATTCATAAATTGCTTAGCAGACATTTTTTCAAAGAAGAGTGAAAATTAATATCAAACCAGAAGTGTGTTATTAATATAACTTTCAAATGTAATTTGTAATAAAATAAATTCATTTTTTTGTTATTTCAATATGGTAGTCACAACTTTGTTGCTAGGTTTTGCTTAGTGGCTGTTGTGAGGGAGGGGTGGTATATAGAACATCATGGATTGATGCAATTCCTTTCCAAAACAGAACAAAACAGATGGTATATTGTTGCCACTATTTAGAATTTTTTTATACATATCTTTTAACTTTTTCAGGGAGAGTTTGCTGATATGGCCAAGAAAATGTACATACTGCTTTCTTTAAATCTATCACGCTTCTTGTTGGTCTCTCTCCCTTTCTGTGGCAAGAGTTACTAGCATGAATTAGCTATGAGAGTGTTGCACACTAGAAGGATAATGTTGGTACAAATGGGTACTGACTGTCTAGAATAAACTGAATGTGAGAATTGCAGGCTATCGAATTGTCTGATGAATAAGTGTCCAGGGTCAGTCCTCAGGCAGAAAGTGGAAGATGACAACTGGTATGAAGACTCTGCTTGCTAAAAGTACAGAATGAAAATGTAAGGCTTGGTTGTCTTTGATAGCAGAAGAAATGAAGTTAATTCCTTCCAGTCACATATTCCTGTGAACAAGTAAATGGTAGCCCAAGTTAATTGGTAATTATTTCTCTTGTAATTAGCATGATGTGCTTTTGGTTTTAAGAAGCAGCAGCAGAATCTCTTCACAGTTCTTACTGCTATTTCATATGTTGCAGATTTAAAAAATATTTCACTTTGAAAAAATATAGAATGATAAAGAGCTTCCCATGCTTCAAATATCATCTTCTCTAATACAGTAGAATTATTTAGATCAGTTCAGGCTTTTAAATAATATTTGACTATATGAAGACAATCAATGTGTGAACCACCCTGGTCAGTGTTTTTTCCACTTGGAGTTAGTGGAATGAAGTCTCCTCAGAGAATTAGAGAGAGGATTGATAAATAATATCATATTCCTTAGTAATTATTCTAGAACATACCGAAGATTATTTCTTCATATATGGTATCCAGATGGTAACAGTCACTCATTAATATGTGCCATGGTAAGATCTTTGCATCACCAGGGAGACCCTGTGTTTATAACAGCTTTAGCAGTTGTTCTTCTGTTCTCTGTTCTGTTCTCCAAAAATAATTTAGCTGTGGGCAGTGGCATTTCCAGAACATATGGATCAAATTCCCAGTTTCCTTTTCACAGTTCTAGCATTTGTAGTTTTCACACATCTCAAAATGTTCTAAAAAGGGTGAGGTTTTTTCCCCTGTTGTTTGCATAAGTTTCATACTTCAGTCAGAACTGATACTTTTATATTCCTATCCAATTTGTCCCACATTTTTCACTGGAGTTGTAATCTAGCTCTTCCATAATTTCACTAGGTACTCAGTTTTGGTTTTCTTTTTCTTTTTTTTTTTTTTTGGCTAAAAGGATAATTATATTTTTACCCCTGAAAATATTAACAGAAGGGCTGTAAGGAATTATTCTAATGAAGCTTTCTTTTGGTCTCAGAGAAGGAGGTTCTTCTGATAAATCCTTTTCTAGTGTTAATTTTAACTAATGGCATATACCACAGAGCACGATGTTGATGGATTTTTAATTCTTCATTGTTATTATTCCTGATCACCCTGGTGCATTTTCTTCTCTTTAGCTGTCTTTTGTGGGTACGTCTCTAAAACACATAACCTTGACTTCAGGAATTAAGGTCACAAAGGCCAGGAAAGCAGCAATTACAATGAGCGAGTGATGTGGCTTCCACACAACAGGACTATTACACCACACCACTAAATGTGTTAAATATCTGCAGATGGGTTTGTATTGAAGCATAATGCATGATCCTATCATTGGTAGAAATGTATTTTTTCTGATGCTGCTGCCTGTTAAATTAGTTGGGGTTTGTATATGCAAAAGGGTTGGTTTTACCCTTTGTATCTGATTGGATGGATTAAAATGTAAAAAATATTTGGTACTCCAGGGTTTTTTTACATTTTCAAGGGATGAGAATTGTTCCTTCACTTTTTGTTCTTTTTGTAAAATCTTAAAAAAAAAAAATTAATAGCTTGCTGGTAGGAAAACAAGTCTTGATGCAGGAGATACTTTCTTTACAATTACTATTCTTCGTGAGCTTTCCATAACCAGCCCACTCCATACTTTAGCTTAACTGAAATAAGTTAATGTATCATGAACCATTTCAGCCTTTTCTATGTAAATAGTAAAATTCCCACTGAATTTAGTGAGATCAAGATTTCATTTTATCAGCTGTATTCCCTTGTAGTCCTATATATTTCTATTCCTTGAAGCCATCAAAATAATTTTGTCCCTGATCCAAAATGTTGTGAATTCAAGCTGTTTCTCACTGAACTTAGTGGTCATGAGCCAGAGCTACCTACATTTCGTTAACAATATTAAAGTCAGTAGGACACAGGAGCTATTTCATCTTTGTAGAAGCAGAAATTCAGCTCTTCTAACAACTTACTTAACAAATTAATTTCTTTCCTCATAATTACTTATACTTCATTTTCAGTTCTGCCAAATTGTACTTGAAGCTCTATCTCTGAAAACACAGGAATGATATATCCAAAATTAGGTTACCAAGTCTTAATTTACTTGGTGTTTTGCTGCTCTGCCTTTTGTTTTTACTTGAGACAGACATCATTCAACTGCAGAAAAACCTGATTTTCAAGAGACAACTTTATGAGAATCTAATTACCAAGTGAAATATTACCTCTTTTATTCCTCCCACAGGAATATTACACTTTAATCTCACCATCAATGCCTCTAAAGAAACAGTATTCAGCATCTATAGCATGTTCCTGTCTATTTGGGCTACCTGATTACACTGCATAGAGAGTGCAGTGGAAGGTTAGTAGCTGTTGATGAAGCCAAGTCCACATGTATTAGTTATTCCATTCCCCACAACTTACTGACATCTTTTAATATAACCTAATTTTTTATATGAATAGTAGTATCAACTACGTTTTTTTAATTAAGTGTTAAGGATTATTTTTAAAAGAGGTACAAATACAGACAGCACATGTTCTTGTCCGCTTTCTCATATTTCCTGAGATAATGAAATATGCAGTAACTTGGACTTTCTTTTGGCTGTTTTGTTATTTTATATTGGTATTTTTATCTCCTTGTTCTTGTTTGCCTCCTCCTCCTCTTTCATCCCGTGAAGAAACAATAATTTATTTAGTCGTGCCTGGACAAACATAATGATTTCAAGCAAGAAAGGAATGTTCAGCAAAGGCAATGCTCACACCAACTTGTTCTTGTGGAGAAAATAAACCATTGTAATAATAAATACACCAAAGAAGCATAACTACAACATAGGGTCCAAGTCAGCACCTTCTATGCCAATTTTAGGTCTCCTGTAAATTCAGCCAGGCTGTCTTTTCATAGTGGATCTAAGTGAGCATTTACAACAAAACAAAATTGGTTTAATGGAGATATTAAATATTACTAAAAAACCCCACAGAAACCCAAACCATTGGTCTGCTAAATCAAAAGTAGTATCAGAAAATTTATTAAACTTTTGGAGAACAGAAGTGTGATTTTAAACACTCTTACTACCACTGCACTTGAAAAACAAAAGGTAAAGATAGTAACATGTAATCTATGAAGATTAGTCATGTTTAGTTTAAGTATAATTTGAAGTTTTGAGAGTTCAGTCTTTGTTTTACTGGAAATTTTCTTCCCAATTCCAGGAATCTTTGTTTGCTTGAGTATTTTATATGCCAAAACAAACTACGGTTTGTAAATAACCTGTCTCCACATGCAGTACAGAAATAAATACTATAGAGTAAAATAACCCCTGAGATTAAATCAGATTTTTGTCATGCTCCAGTAGCATGTCATAGAAATGGACATAACAAGAACCATTTGGATAGCAATTTGCAAGTAGTGTGCATTAACTATACTTATTTATAATCATTTATAATCTATTTTACATCAATTCGTATTTTCATTGTCAGTGTTGCCAAATATGTCTGATTTCTACATTTTTATTTTAGAGAAAATTATTGTTTACAGGTACAACCTCTAGAAGTATAAAACAATGCACCAGAGGCTGAAGCCAGAAGTTATACATGCTTAGCTGTCTTCAGGATTAGGTAGCAACTAACAGCATTGTTTTCTTTGGACTTTCACTTTGAGCTTCAACTTGTATAATTACTTCGTTGTGTTTTAAGTAGCTAGCTACAGGCACTAGCTAATGAAAATGTTGAAATCAGTGGGGATTAATTTTATCAGGTACAGGCTCAATTCTTGTGTACTACATAAGTTACTTCTGAAATAACTCAGAAAAAATACTAATTCTGCATATTACGTAAGTGTTCCCAGTAGTTTCTCACACCCAAAACTTTAAAGTTTCCACATAACTTCCCACAGAATTATGATGTTAGAATAAATTACAAATTAAATTATGATTATTTGATTGTTCTGTACTGGTAACTGTTTTATTTTAAAAATTTCTGATGCTACTGTCACACATTTTTTTTTTTTTTCCTTTTTGAGAAAAATTGGAAGGAACAGTCAGTCAGTGAAATTGTTAGCAGACCATCAACTGTAGCAAATATCTATGGGTAAAATTAAAATACAGCTAAATACTGAAGATGATGATATTTCAGGAAATACATAGCCAGGTATTTAAAGACATATTTTACCATTATAGTGGTTGTAACTACCTGCTTATGGAAATGAAGATTTGGAAGTGTTCACTCAAGGTTTAAAGAAACAATCTTTACACCAAAATAAAATGTGACTATAGAATAGTTCATACTTCAGTCTCACTCTGGGAGGCATGTAGTATCTCTTAGAAGTCCTACA